GCCTCTTGACGAATCGGTTCAGCTTGGTGAGGTCGACCGTCAGACGGCAGCCAGAGACCGTGCCGTCCGGCGACCGCTTCGCCACCGGCACGATGGGGTGGCACCACTCGGTCGGATGCTCCACCGGCTCGATCACGTCACTCTCCAGCAGCTCATCCAGCTGGCGCCGAATGTCGTCACGCCAGCAGAACGGTACACTGCGAGCTGTGGAGACGGCAACTGGTGTGGCGTCTTCAGTCAACTCGATGGCCATTGAGCCTCCGGACATCTTGCACAGCTTCGAGGTGACGTCAAACACTCGTGGGAAGGCTTCCTTCATCGCTGAGAAGTGCTTCCGTCGTTCTTCAGCCGATGGCACACCTTTGCTTGCATCCCACGTCGGCTTCAGCGGGTGCACCTTCTGCGCCTTCCCGGCGTCTTCAAGTGCAGGAGCAGAGCCTCGTTTGACCACTCTGCGGGGTATCTTGCTCTTCCCTGGCATGGTCTTCAGGGAGCAGACCGCTGGAGCTGGTCTGGAGGTCTCCTCCTCGTCTGAGATGGCAGAACGGATCTGCTGTGGGAACTCCTTGTGCAGTATTCCCAGTCGAACAGCGTCGTGCCACGACAGCAGCGAGCTGTGCAGCTTCTTCACCACAGAGACGGCTATCGTCCTCTTGATGCTTCCCAGCTGCAGTGCGACTTGGCACGCTCCCAGGCAGGGCAGTTCTCGTCCGTCTGCTGCGAACAGGCTTCCAGAGGGCGGCGTCAGCTTCTTGACGTTGATGCCCATCTGCTTCGCTGCCTCCTGAGAGATAACAGACACCTCAGCGCCTGTATCTGGCGTCCATTTCGTTTGTTGCCTGCGACCGTCACTCCGATGCAGCAGAATCTGGATCTGCGGAGCACGCGTCGTGTGCAGGCCTTGGATCATGCAGTCTCGGTGCTGCTGGTCCACTGTCTGTCTGGCAGGTGCAGATGCCGCTCGCGTCTTCATTGTGACGAGCGACACACGTCTGCCTCCATCGGACCTCCGCTGGGTCCGGTCTGTGCTCGCCGCCGGAGCGCGCGAGCGACTGGCGCTGCGACCGCGGCAGACAGACGCGAAGTGGCCTACCTTGCCACAAACTCGGCAGGTCCTCTTGACGGCCCTGCAGTCGCCGGCGCTACGGTGAGCTTCACCACCGCAGCGGGGGCACGTCTTCTCAGCCGACCGGTCTCTCGGGCGACCGCGGCTGCGCTGGTACTGAGAGACCTTCGCCAGGGTCGAGCCAGCTGGCTCACGAATGGCTGAGCTGTTGGAGGCGGCATTCTCTGACGCTCGGGCGATATCCACTGCCTTCTGAAGCGTGAGATCCGGCTCTTCCAACATTCTGCGGCGTGCTTCTTCGTCTCGCGTGCCGACAACGACTCGATCTCTGAACCTGTTGTCCTGGCAGTGGTGACAGAAATCACAGAACGATGCAATCTCTTTCAATCCGCAGAGAAAATCGTCCACGGTCTCACCGGGCTCCTGTACTCGCGTGTAAAAATCTCTCCGATCAATGATGACGTTACGCTGGCGGCGCAGATGCGTCTGCATCGCCGTGATGATGGTGTTCATGTCAGCGTCTTCGGGGATCGGCAGGCCGTACCTGACCACCCTGGTCCAATCATCATCAAGCAGAGCGAGTAGGGCTGCCTTCTGCTCGGGCTGGGCTAGCCTGTTGACGCCAGTCAGCAGACTGTAGCCGTGAAATTTCTGTCGCCAGGATTCAAACTCCTTCAGTGACGCCGATGACGACAACTGTGGAGCGGGAGTTGCTGATGCCGGCAGTCTGGGCGGTAGATTGACGGCTGCGCTCGTATCGGCTGGGGTGGCCGCTGCAGTAGCCGCCGCGGCTGCAGCGTCGGCCCCGGCCGCCGGCCCGGCCCATATCCGTTCCATTACGGCCACCATACGCTCCTCCCGCTGCTGGCTTTGCCGCTGAGCTTCTTGAGCCAGCTCCAGTTGCTGGGCGAGGAGTTGGGCGAGGGCTCCCAGGTCTACCGGCTTGCCTTCCTCCGTCATTGCGAGAAAAGCGCGCTAAAACCGACGAAAAAATGCTACATTTAATGATAAAAAGTAAATTATACCGATCGCGCCATGTTATGGTTTTACATTTAAGTCTACGTTAATGATGGTTCGATAGCAAATTAATTATCGTCGCGATTCCGCCGCCCCAGACGCACACGCGCACTCCCGATGTGAACTGTATTGAGTCCGGCTGACGACTGCACAACAATACTCTTTACTCAAGGACACCGGAAGCTGCCGGGCGGCACAGCCTGCCATCAGGCGCCGGCCGGCGCCGCGGCGGCTGGCAACAGCTGTCAGCTGACTGCGCCGGCATAGCTCGTGCCGGCTCAGTAGCACGCATCACAACACTCGCCATCGACAAATGTTTTCAAGAACCGGCTGGACAAGCACTGGATGAACTATGCCTTCATCGCTCCACAATAGATAAGACTGTTAATGCTACCCGAGCTCTCTACGACGGATCCACCGGGCAATCCTAGTGCCTTCAATGATCCCCAAATATCAGGTATCAGGTATCAGGAATGTTGTTGTTTGTTGTTGTTTGCAGTTCAAGTTATTGTTATGATTAGAGCAGTGACAGCGAATAGCACTGCTTTTATAAGCCTTGGTAAGAAGAATATTTATATGTGACCTGGGCCCTGTTCGGTCGATGTTTTATATCAGCGTGCTGTCGGTTTTCCCCATATAAGGAAGTTATTGCTGGCGCGTCTTGGCCTCTCATTGGTCTAACGAATAGACCACTTGAAGTCGACCAATGAGGAGCCAAGAAGTAGCAGCATGGTCGCAGCGTGCTGATAAATAAACGGGGGGCGAACAGAGCTCAGCTTTAGAGAATCAAGATTGAACGAACCGTAACATGGGTTTGGGTTGGGGCCTCAGCCTGGGCCGGGAAAGATAATGCAGTCATAGGTATATCGATACCACCAGACTAGTTGCATTGCAGTACCTGAACTGTTTTCTCCAAGGTCATATATGGGTTTCTCCATGTTATCAGAGGGAGCCCCACCGTGTGTACAATGTTGCACACCACTGGGCGCCCATGCGTTGACTCGCGGTAATTGCGGTCCCCCCTTGCATAACGCTCTGCTGTGTTATGGTCAGATGTGTGCAAGCATTAACGACGATGCGACCCCACGGGCACGCGGCTTTGTGACTGTTGCCGTCGTGCCGGTCCCAGCCCACCCTGCTGATGTGTGCGAGAGGGTAGGCATGGTGAGAAACGCTGGATAACGTCTCAATTGATGGTATGCATCCTTGCAATTTATCGCCGTTGCTTCCCGGCCAGCCCTCCGATGTGTAGGTACGGGAGCTGGGCTCCATCCTTCCCATCGCATGGTTAGCCGTTGAGAGATGTCCAATGTCCACACTCACTATATTCCTTTTGAAGCTCATGATTGCTCATCACTTGACATTCGGGGCTCCAAGATAGGGGGACCCCAGGCTAGGGCTGCGGAGTCGTAGCCGTACCCGTAGCCATAGCCGTAGTCGGTCGGAGTCGGAGCCAACCGCACTGACGAGTTGGAGTCGATTGTAGGAGCTGGAGCCGGAGTTGGAGTTAACGGAAATCCATCGGCTCCGCGAACCTACCAGGACTGTGGAGTCGGAGTCGGTCGGAGACTCGGAGTTGACAGTTCTGCCCGGAGTTGAAGTCGATTTTACCGATAATTCATTGACTCCGCAGTCCGCAACCCTGTACAATGTACAGTGTACCCCAGACCTAGTGGCCTTCAATTCCCGACCTCGATAAGATAAGATATGTCAGCCACACGGACACCAAAACAGTAGGTTGTGATGTTCAGGTGTGCCTCCAGGTCCCTATAGATGAAGCACCGCTGTCTCCACTGTCCAGAGGCAGCAGTTGCGGCCAATCAGTGCAGGCCCACATATTGATACAGGCACAGCTGTCAGCTGATACAGTGGAGGTACTGCCTTATCATCTTAGACTGATTGGCATGGAACTTTAACTGGTGCTGGTTAACTACTGAACTCCTGGCCACGCTGAAGATGGGACTCGGCATTTACTTTCCAAGATTTGCTCAAACTTAGAGGCTGATGGCCATATTTGATGCCATGTCCCTGAAGCTGTTCTAGCCATGGCACCCATAATTGTCATCGTGTGGGCATCTGCTGGCGCCTCCTGTTGGAAATAGGCTCCTCTCGTCATCTCACTTGCCTTCTCGTTTCTGGGGATTCCACTTTGAGCCGACACCTGCAGCCTGCAGTGTGATTTCTTGGCCTCATGTTTCCTGTAATTCCTTGGCTTTGGGGGGTATGAAATAGCAGCATCTATACCAAAGCTATGTAAGCCACAAGATAAACCATTCAGAAATCAGAGATCACTGCTCCCAGCTGAGTTTTCTGTGATCCGACGCCTCCACTCACCTGGGTCAGCACTGCCTTGGAATCAACACGAATGACTACTGGTCTCTCTGAATACCTGAGAGGCTGCTTCTTCCAGCGTGCTTTTGATGCCATGAAGCTCAGCAGGAGACTGAGTACCTCCACTGGATATGTTGCTCCAATTCCATTTGGCTTGCTCCGGAAAAAAAAATGTAGCGTGTCTGCTGTCTCCTGACGGATCGTGTTGCGAATGTCCTGACCGACCTTGTTGTTGTTGGTCAGGTTGATCGTGATCGCTCCCCGTCGGAATGTTCGAAACTTCTCTCCCCATTCTTCTCTGGTATTTTCAGCATGGTATGGTCGTTGCCGCCCCTTCGTCCCCTCTCTCCATTCCGAAGTTGATATCTGTTGACAAGACTATCGAGACCTGTTTGACTGTTCAACAGATACCGAGATATCTGTTGACAAGACCTGTGAGTGATCGCAGATTGGCACCGTCGTTAAAAGTAGTTCTTAATTAGTTCTTAGTTAGTTCTTATGGTGCGAGCGGCGCCTATCTTTCAGTCTACTTCTTTTCTGAGGCATTAAATGGGGGGGGGGGGGTCATCAATACTGTGTCTTACGGTGAATTCCTTTGTCCTTGTGTGGCTTGGGGGCTATTTTTTGATAATTTACCGCAAACGAGCGCTGGAGCTGATAGCAGAGTTGTCAAAATCAGTATTTATTCCAAAGCGAGACTCTGTATAGTTTGAACTTTGTCGGAAATTCCGGGTCATTTTGCTCTAACTCGAAGCCAACCAGAGTCGGCGATGGCCAAGATATCCCTGATTAGGAGTTATGATTGAAAGAATTTCATGCGCATTGTGGAAATTTTTATCTTGCATATCTGTAGATTTTTACACTGACAAGGCGGACAAGGCCCACGGCCCACACATTACTCACCTGAAAAGTATTTATATTCTATTAGCAATGTTTCATGCCTAATATCATCTTCCATTCAGCTTAACTGCGTAGGACTTTTGGTGTTCTCGTTCATGATGCATATCGACCTCGGCATAGCATTTTAATGAAATGGTATTTTTATGCGTTTCCATCGAAGTTATTCCGTGTCTTGCCATACTTTTGCAAATTTCTTCCCCGTTCATTGTGTATTGGTGCGACCGCTGCTGAGCTCGGCTCGGCTCTGTTCCAGACGGCCCCGTCGGGCGCCCTCTGACGGGATGGCGACCGGCGCCGCGCCAGCCAGGATCCAGACGTTCGTCTTCTTCGACCTGGAGGGGACGGGGCTGCCCAGCCAGCCGGCCGACTACCCGGTGCGCATCATGGAGCTCTCCCTGGTGGCTGTGCAGCGGCCGGCTGGCTGCGGCGCGGCGCAGCCCCGGCGCCCGGTGCCCATCCCCGGGAAACTCGAGCACCTGCCTCCCAACGAGAGGGGCCGCGTGACGCCGAAGCGGCCAACCAGAGAGCATGGTGAGGAGGCGTGGGAACGCCGGGGATGTGGAATGGGTCCAGGGTGTAACACGTGACGACTTTTGGTGTATGTAGGTATATGTTGATTTCGCGCCTGTGTTGAGGCTCGTAAATGGCTGGAACTGGAAGGTTTTACATAAAGTTTTTGTCTATTCGATCAGTATCCCTCTGAGTTGGCAATTCTTCATACCAATGTAACATACTTCATCCGGTCAGAGTCCTTTCTATTCCACACACATTGCCCTGAAGCCCAACTTATAAACAGACGTGCATGGTGGATTAAATGATTCCATTTTGTATACCCCATCATGACGATGACTGTCCTTTCTCTTTTAGGACTTCTATCCTGGCTTATCAACCTAATCTTGTATGGATTTCAAGCCTTCTGTAAGTCTCTTTTTAACCCGCGCCCCAGTGGCGGTCTCAGCCAACTTCGCTCTAGTGGGGGGGGGGGGGGCATATGTTACCACCCACCTCTAACTCACCCCGCAGGGGGCTGACCGTGGTCAGAGCTGCTGCTTAGCCGGGGTCATCTGGCTCCGGCTGTGCGGCGGCTGTGACTTCGGCCAGTAAGGGGAGTAGCGCCCCCTCGGCCCCAGCTTGACGCGCGTTTGACCTGGACTTGCCTTGCTTACCGGATGGATTGTCTGCAGGATTGGCCCCGCAGGGGGTTGGCAGTGGCCTGGGTCGCTGTTGGACTGGGCTCCTTGGGCCCTCGCCCCGCGGCGGCCCTGGCCTCGGCCAGCAAGGGGAGTAGCGCCCCCTCGGCCCCAGCTTGACCCATGCTTGCTTACGATTTGCTTTTGATCACTGGATGGACAGATGGTACGGCCCGACTTTTCTTGGTTTCCGTGGTTTTGTTTCTCTTGAGCGGTCTTTGTTTGCTTTTGCTTTGCTTCTCACCGGATGTCTGCGTTTCGTTCGATCACAGCTTTCTGATTCCTTTCCCCCTTTTTTCGTTGTTTTTTTGCACCCGCAGGAACACAGCCGAGTTGGGCTAGTGTAAGGGGAGTGGCGTCCCCTCGGGTACTAGCCGGTTTTACTAGGCTAGGCGAGCCGACCCGTACCCCAGGACAACGGGATCCTGGAGGTTGAGCCCCCCACCGTGCGGAGCCAGTCGCGGTGGCTGGGCAACACGCCTCTTTGGCCCTGAGTTCTGTAAGGGCGGGACACTCAGTGGGGCGCCGCACTTGAGGAGCCATTCCCAGTCGTGATGCCGCCGGGGGTGGTGTTGGAGAGGTGTCGCCGGCGGGGTTCGGGCACTTGTGCTCGTCCTCCGTCGGTGGGACTGATCTGTCGCTGCCCCTGGCGGTGACTCGGCGAGGCGTCAAGGGAGGAGGCGGTATCCGACCGTGGGGGGTGGTGAGTCTCTCTCTCCCCCTCGGAAGGTGCCGCCAAGTCCCGTACAGTCAGCTCGGCCGTCCTAGGCCTTGTAGCGGCGCCGTTGCGGAGCGTCGGCGGCCGAGCTGGCGGAGACCAAGCACACTTACATGGATGACCGGACCAACCCCCCTTCCCCTCAATCCAACCCCTCGGCTTCGGCCGATTCTCGCCCGTTGGCCTCGGCCGGCGGGCGAACGTCACACGAGAAGGTTCCTCGAAACCCAAAGATCCTTATCCTAAGGAGCAGTGACAAACAGCTGGGTGCGCTGTCCCCCTTCCAACGGAAGGACGGCTGCGACCGCCTCGGCAAGATCCTCCGCTGCGATCGGATGCGCGATGGGGCTTTGGAAGTCGAATTCGAGAAAAGTGAGGAGGCTGCAAAAGCCTTAAGCGCCACCCGATTTGTGTATACCGAGGGACGGGCCTCCGGCAGGAAGCTGGTCTCTGTCTCTCTCTCAGTTGAGCCGCACAGGTCAAAGAACTCGAGCAGAGGGGTCATCAACTGCTTTGACCTCAGAGACGTGAGCAATGACGACATCGCAGACGGCCTCGCCGACTTTGGCGTCACAGCAGCACACCGCATCTTGGCGAGGAGAGGCACGGTCCCCACGAATAACATTATCTTAACCTTTGACTCCACCGACATGCCGAGCGAGGTTCGCGTGGGGTACGTGAGGGTTCGTGTGCGACCTTACGTCCCGGCACCCATGCGTTGTTTCCGCTGTCAACGTTTTGGTCATACGAAGGACAACTGCCGAGGCAAACCCGTGTGCTCCAAGTGTGCTTCCCAGGACCACACTGACGACACGTGCAGCTCGGAAACCCCTCGATGCGTCAACTGCGGAGAGGGGCAGACACCGCACTCCGCGTATGACAGGTCCTGCCCTACATACGTCAAAGAGAAGGAGATAAACACCATCAAGGCTACCAGAAATCTGTCGTTTAAAGAGGCCCGGGAGGTGTATAACCAAACTCACCCGAAGACCTCGTATGCCCAAAAGGTGAGAGTGACAAACTCAACCGATGCCTCCCAGATGAGTGTTGCACAGCTTGTGCAGCTCCTCAAGCGATTCGGCCTCACTGTCGTAGCCACTGATGGCTCAGCGGACCCCCCGGCGCCTCGTGCGCCGCCGAGCGACACGGAGCAGGCTGCTCAGGAGTCAGTGTGGGGTCCACCCAGTCCGGCTCCAGCCGCGAGTGGAGACGAGTGGACCGTCGTCCAGCGCCGACAGGGTGGTCGGCGCCCCCCGGCGCAGGGTAAGGCGCCACCCACCCCGCCCCGCCCCCGACCGTCTACGGCGGTGCAGGAGGCTCTGCGGCGGGGGGAGGAGGAGAGGAGGGCACGTGAGGCGAGGAGGGCTCGCCTCGTCCAGAAGGCCCTCGAGGCTAAAGAAGCCTCGTCTGCCGACTCCGCCTCCGGGAGTGCCAACGCGGCCGCCGCCGCTGACACCCCGGAGACACCTGAGGCGGGGACTCGGCCCATCATGGGTCCCCCGCCGCCTCCTCCACCTCCGCAGCGGCGGCCACCACCGCCGCTGCCAGAGACGCCTGTGTCGAGGACACAGGCCGCCGCCTCGACATCTCCGTCCGGGCGGCAACAGTCCTCCGCGGCTCCAGGGCGCCTCGCCAAGCGGCAGACGCCCCCGAGCTGGTCGCCCTCGGAGGGTGACGCCCCTCGGGCGAAAAAGCCCCAGCAGGGCTCGAGCCACGCCCGATCTGCCTCCGCTGAAGGGAGGCTTCACCGAGAGGGCTCGGGGCACCCCCGCATCCATTACGGGGGGAGCGCCTCCTCGGAGTTAGAGGACCTAGTCTAGTCTTTCATTCTAGTCATTTCCTCTTTTATCCTTTTATCTTTTTCGCGCTATTGCGCTTTTTTACCAGGTGCATTTCTCTCGGTGTTTTTTACCTTTTTTGTGGTCAGTCAGGTATCTGCGTGCGCCTTTGCCTCATGTTATACGCGCCCTTTTTGCGCCTTTTTAACCACGCCTTTTATTCTACAGTGGAACTGTAGAGGCCTCCGGGCCAACTACCAGGACCTACAGTCTCTTATCCGTTGGCGCACACCCCTTGTTTTAGGTCTCCAGGAGACCAAGCTTGCGCCAAATGTCACCCTTGCCATCAAGGGCTACTCTGTTTTTAGGAGAGACCTGGACACCCCTACCATTGCCCATGGAGGTGTGCTTCTGGCGGTTCACCACAGCGTACCTGCGCGCCAGGTGCCGCTGCAGACTCCCCTGCAGGCGGTGGCCGCCAGAGTTGATTTCAACCACCGGGAACTGACTGTGTGCTCCTTATACCTTCCACCAGGTATAGCGCTCCCGGTGGTTGAGCTTCATCGACTTGTCGATGAGCTTCCACCTCCGGTCCTGGTAGTCGGCGATTTTAACGCCCATAGCCTGGCGTGGGGATGCGACACGACTGGCACTCGTGGTCGACTTTTAGAATCTTTTATCCGCGATGAGGCGCTGTGTATTTTAAATACAGGACAGCGCACCCATTTTACAACACCCTCCGGTCAAACATCGGCTCTGGACCTGAGCTTAGTCAGTCCGAGGCTAGCTCAGCTTTTTACCTGGTCCGTCCATGACGACCCACTCGGGAGCGACCACTTCCCAGTGTGGCTGGAGCACCAGGAGTCCCCAGTGTCGGGCAACCGTCCACCTAGGTGGAATGTTCGGAAAGCCGACTGGGGCGAATTCCAGGCCGCTGTAGAGGCCTCTGTTTTAGCCAGAGCCGACGCCTCTGTGATGTCTACAGAGGATTTTACATGTTTACTCAATGACTCCGCAAACGGGTGCATACCCAAGACGTCGAGTCAGCCTCGTCGTCCTCCGGTCCCGTGGTGGACCAAGGAATGCGGAGATGCGATTCGTGCCAGGAAACGCGCTTTCAGAAAGTTTGACCGGAGTAGTACTACTGAGAACCTCATCGCTTTTAAGAGAGCGCGGGCTTTTGCCCGACGCGTTTTAAAGGAGGCAAAGGCTGTTTCATGGCGCACTTATGTAAGTTCCTTAAACCGTTTTACTCCTACGACCCAAATATGGGCACGCATGAAGCGCATTGAAGGCCGGTTCAGCTCTGTTCCGCTTCCGGTTTTAAGAGTGAACAACACGGACATATCTCACCCTTCAGACGTCGCAGAGACGATAGGTCGTGCACTCTATCAGCGCTGCCGAGGAGAGCCGTCCTCACGACCTGCACCAGCCGCCGTGGACTTCAGCACAGCTGAAAATTTGGTGTACAACGAGCCTTTCTCTATGGCTGAGCTCACGTCTGCCATCAGCTCGTTGCGCAGCGTCTCAGAAGGTCCGGATGCTGTCCACAACGACATGCTCCGTCATCTCCCAGCAGTTGCCCTCGAGGCGCTGCTAGCAACCTTCAATTCGCTTTGGGAGACTGGCACTTTCCCTGAGACCTGGCGGGAAGCCACTATCATTCCTATCTTGAAGGCTGGCAAGTCGGGACATGACCCTCTCCATTATCGGCCCATCTCTCTCACATCATCGCTATCAAAGCTGATGGAGAAGATGGTCAATGTGCGTTTTAGTTGGTTTCTGGAACATTATGGTGTTTTTACAAACGCCCAGTGCGGTTTTAGAAAGCACCGCAGCCCTGTTGACCACATTTTAGCCCTTAACACCGAGATACGCACCTGTTTTACTGAAAGGAAGCACCTTGGAGCACTGTTCTTTGATATTGAGGCGGCCTATGATACAGTCTTACGACACAGCATACTTTTCAAAGTATATAAGTACGGCATACGCGGCCGGATGGGCCTCTTTATCGAGAACTTTTTATCGGGTCGTCGGTTTAAAGTCCGAGTCGGTAACCAGTTGTCTAGCAGTTTTATCCAAGAGAATGGAGTCCCTCAGGGAGGGGTGCTTAGTGTGGCGTTATTCGCAGTGGCGATTAACGATATCGCCGATGATCTCCCGGTCTCTATCGGCAGATCGCTTTTTGTTGACGATTTTGCCATCTGGTTCGCCGCTTCCAGCGCTCGGCACATGGCCAGACAACTGCAGCTTGCAGTCAGACGGCTTGAGAGATGGAGCCGCGACAATGGTCTCCGTTTTTCAACGAGGAAGACTGTTGCCATGCATTTCTGTCGCCGCCGCTGCGCCGACCCTACATTGGGTATCCGTCTGTACGGACAGACGATCCCCACGCAGCCGGTGGCGAAGTTTCTTGGTATGACGTTTGACGGACGTTTGACGTATAAAGAACATTTTAGAACGCTTCGAGAACGATGTTTTAAATCCCTGAACGTTTTAAAGTGTGTTGCCCGCACATCATACGGTGCGGATCGCAAAACTCTGCTCCTCTTGTACCGGTCGATCATCCGATCGAAGCTGGACTACGCGTGTTTTGTTTATGATTCTGCAAGTGAGTCCAGCAAGAAGTCCCTGGACGCAGTACATCACGCTGCGCTCCGCGTTGCCACCGGGGCTTTCCGCACTTCTCCAAAGAGTAGTCTTCTGGCTGAAACGAATGAGCCACCTCTAGCTCTTCGTCGCCAGATGCTGGGGATGCGTTACACTTTGAAACTTCGCCAATACCCAACGCATCCGACGTACCCGTACGTCTTTTCACGTCACGCTACTCGATCTGACGGGAGGGTACGACCGTCGTTTGGAGAACGCATGGGAGGTCTTTTTTCAGCTGCTAACATATCCTTGCGTGGCGTTCGGCGTACCTGGGACACGCCCCCTCCACCCTGGAAAAACGCCAATCCGCAAGTGGACCTCTCACTATCGACTGTTAAGAAGGACAACTTGTTGCCTGCTGAGGCGCGAGCCAGAGCCTTAGAGCACATTGCCGTTTATGATGGTTTTATCACGGTTTATACAGACGGCTCGAAGACAACCGAGGGAGCGGGCTGCTCTTTTGTCGCTGGTCGTGACACCCGCTCGTTTTCTCTGCCACCTTCCGCCTCGGTGTTTTCTTCAGAGCTAGTCGCTATAGAGAAGGCTTTGTGTTTCATCGAGGTTTCTGGCAGTCCCTTTTACTTGATTTTATCTGATTCTCTTAGCAGCTTATTGGCCTTACGTACTTTTAACTCAGTTGACCCCATCGTGCGGGACATTTTAACTCGGCTTACGTCGGTGGAGCAATCTGGAAAATCAGTCCGTTTCTGCTGGATTCCCAGTCACGTCGGCATTGAAGGCAATGAGCTTGCTGATGCTGCTGCCAGACGCGCCGCCGCAGCACCCTGCACTCGGCGCTTGCCTCTGCCTGCCCGGGATTTGTATCCGCTGGTGCGACCTTTCATGCTTTCAAAGTGGCAGGCAGAGTGGGATTTGTGTGTAAGGAACAACCTGAGAGAGTTGAAACCAACTCTAGAGCCTTGGCAGTCTTGCCTGCAAGGCAATCGTTTCCAGGAAGTGGTCCTCTGCAGACTCCGTATTGGTCACACATACGCGACGCACAGCTATCTCCTTTCAGGAGGTGAGCAGCCTTTGTGCAACAGGTGTTCCGTGCCTCTAACCGTCGCTCACGTTCTTTTATCTTGCCCACTCTTTGAACGGAACCGGACACGCTACCTGGGCTGTATTGCTCCTGGTACCACTATCCGCCACCTACTGGGTGACGAGTCACCCTGGGTTTTATCCGGCAATATTTTTTCCTTTATCCGTTCGGTCAACTTCCAGGTGATTTACTCAACCTGACCCAATTCCTCTCTAGTCTACTTGTCTAGTCAGTTGACTGTTACGACGCTCTTGCGTTGTTCTATCTTACCTTGCCGTTTTTATCAAGTCTTTTACTTTCTTAGCCTTGGTATATAGAAGGTCTCTTGTTTTGAAACACTTGTTTTATTAGAGTGACGTTATGGGCGCAAAATGACCTTCGCAGTCGGCGCGCCCTAAAGCCCCAATAAACAAACAAACACCTCTAACTCAAAAACTAAGAGGGCTAGAAAGACGCGGTAAAAAGCAGTCGATAGCTCTCAATGCGTACGTTTGAAAGTATTTCGGTCATTTTTCACCTTAGAGCAATATTGGGGTCACCAGAGGTCATCAAAGGTCAAAATTTGCCAATCGTCATTATATTTTTCAGAAAACATGCCGCTATCTCAGGAACTATGGTAGCTAGAAAAACGCATGGAACAGCAATCGATAGCTTTTGAACTCTTCTTTTGAAAAGATCATTATCAATATTGCCCTCAGGTCAACGGTTTAGCTTCCAGAGGGCAAAAACTCCAAAAATAGCTGTTTTTACGAAAAGTGTTTTTCGACAATAACTTTCAAATACAAAAAGCCACGACATTTATATTGCCAGAATCGTGTTCCTCTCGCCGAGACGCGTCGAATGAACTATAATTTGACCTTGAAAGGTCAACTTGAAAATTTGACCTCAGGTCAAGGTCATAACCTGACCGGAAAAGGTCATGTTGCATATCAGTCGATGCGTCTCAAAAAGACAAACACAATGAGACCAACCCCAGCGTTCTATCTCTTTCCAATCGCGAGTTATGGGCAAAAAACTGTTTGTAGCCTCAAATGACCTCGGATGACCTTTCTAGAGGCTATTAGCAAAAATGACACCTTGGTCATCACGAGTGGACTAAGTCATTGTAATTCTGAAATATTTGGACTGTTCCTATGCGTACACACGGATCTAGAGGCATTTTCATTTTTCTCCATTGACTTGTAATGGAAAGGTCACGCCACTGACCTGACCTTAGGTCACGGATATAAAAAAAAATCCGAGATATACAAATTGTAGGCGCCCATAACAGCATGCAATCCACCAAGTTTGAAACCTTTCTGACAAACACTGCAGACTGGACATGATTGCAAATTTTTTTTAGGCTTGGTCAGTTAACTTGACCTGGTGACCTGACCTGACATGACCTGGGGTCAAAAATTTCACACATTGTCCAAAATTGATGTATCAAAAGCTACCCCAAGCGGCGCGGCGCTACGCGCCGCGGTTTTTTATTTACACGCAAAAAACGCGACAGGGTGGTAACATATGTCCCCCCCCCCACTGGGGCGAAGGTTAAGGCTATGTCTCGTTGTTCAATGTCCATTTGTTTGCTTCAAACGAAACCTTGGCACTGAGTTTTGAACACACACCCAGCCATGTTTTAATCGGTAAGAGCGAAAAATAAAAACTGAAGGCATTTGCCGTTGATTGTAATGTCATCAATCGTCAGAAAACGTCGGAATGAGTGCCACCCGCGACTAGCCTTCAAACTGGGTTTTAGTGACATTGTAATATTCATCAGTGACAAGTCCCTTTTTTTGTAACAGACCGTAGTGCCAAACATAAGGTATTTTCAAAAAACAGGACGTGCCTAGGTTTGTTTGGAATCGAACGAATGGGCGAGTACGAGAAAGACGATAAAGATGCTCACAGATTGTTTGAAATCCATAGTAGTGATATACAAGATTCATAAGGTGTCGCAATTTTCTCCCAGTTCACATCCCATCTCTCTCAGTCCAGTATATCCGTTTTGCCGTAAATGGTGGTCTTTTGGCCCTGCTGCACATTGAAAAGGTAGTTGATTTATAAGTCGCAGTACCTACCCCGGCGAGTGTGAACCGTGATTCTCGGGGTGCGTTCACTGTGCGTTTGTGCTCATTCTGGCCGATGTGTGTTCTCGTTCAAGGGATTGGCGCGCGTTTGAACCCCGCTCAGCTCTGCTGACATGGAACCGCTGACCGCTCGACTATGCTGACCCGTGCCCGCTGACCGCTCGGCTGTGCTGAACCGTGCCCGCTGACCGCTCGGCTGTGCTGAACCGTGCCCGCTGACCGCTGGGCTGTACTGACCCGTGCCCGCTGACCGTGCGCAGACCGTCTGGCGGCCGCCGGCGCGGCGCGCGCCCGGCCCCGGCCGCGGGTGGTGGCCGGATGTGCCACCCCGCCCGTCTCAGACGATACCTCGGACGAAGACGACGACGACGACGACGCGCCGACGGAGCCGCTGCCGGTGCCGACGCCGCCGCGCGTGCGGAACTCGCTGCTGCTCGCCGTCAGTCCGCGGAAACAGATCCCGGCGATCGTCACCGATATTACCGGTAACAAACCGCCCTCAGACCCCTCTTATGCCGTACCGTCATGACAAAAAACAACTTGGGTCTTTTCAGTGGAGCTTAAGCTCTGCGAGTGCTTGTTTGATCGTGTTTGTAATCGGTTAGGTTTCGTCAAGAAGGAGATACTCCGTGAAGGCACAGCGTTGAGCGTAGTTAAATGTTAATGATAACTTATCTTACTATTTGACGCATACCTAATCATTTATCACCTCAGTGTCGACGACGCTCCGAAAATGTGAATCGCTAGCAAACACGCTCAGTATTACAGTCAGTTTCAGCGCAATGCGTCTTATTCATTATTTTCCACGATATTTGTTTTGCCGCTTCCCTAAAGTGTTATTTCCGATGTGTGGACAGAGCTCGACAACGAGACGCTGGAGGCGCACTCAGCGTTTGATCGCGACCTGGCCGAAATGCTGCGCGCTTACCTGCGCCGGCTGCCGGCACCCGTGTGCCTGGTGGCGCACAATGGCTACCGATACGACTTTCCGCTGCTCACAGCCGAGCTGCTGCATGCCAAACAGGTGAGAAGCGGTGGGCGGTGGTGAGTTGTGAGTTGTTGTGAGTTGCCGTGTCCCAGCCGGTGGTAAGTTGAGATGAGTCGCTGTGTTCTCTTCAGTGTGGAGTAGCGTTGAGTTTACCGTCTCCCGGCAGCGGTGAGTTGCGCGGAATCGTCAGGCTGCCACCGGCCTACCTAACTGGTGTTATTTGATCCAATACCAGTCTGCTGTCGGCGGAGTCAGGATTGTCATTTGTCGCTATTATGATAATCACACTGCCACATAATCGATCGGTTTTAAGTATTTACCGTATAGGGGCGGAAGGCCTCAGCCTCCGTCGTTTTTTATGTTTTCCGTCTTCAATATTGGCTAGTTTTACACTTTTTGCCGCATTGAAGTTCGGATTAATTAGTTGAGCGACATGAATGTTGTTTCTAACTTTCTTATTCTAGGTTTGTGCAAATGCATATGTAAGTAAATTGTGACTTTAGTAGGATTTAGTAGGAAATTGTAAATTGTCCTACTAACGGGCCACTCTTTGGTGGCCACAAGCATGGTTAGAAGGCACAAAGAAACTGTTGTTTGTCCATTGTGTCGTAATGCCATTGAAACTCTGGAACACATGCTCTTTGAATGTGACAAACTGAAAGACGATAGAGTAGCTGCTCAAAAAATATACAAAACTATCTTGAACAGAACGCTACCAGCAGCAGAACTTATCATCATCGCCGATAAGCCACAAAGCTTGATCATCCATTATATCTACCAAGCCCGTGTGCGCAAGGAACTCACTGAGAAAGAGAATATAACCAAGAAGAGTAACTGTTAAAGAGTCCTCCCAACTATGATGTCCTGAAAATTTATATCATCCAGACAGCTAACATAATTGGAAGACGATCAGAAATGATCCTGCATCTACTAGATGGAGTCGACGAAATAAGTCTAAGTGTGACATTGCTATGGGCTAGCAAAGGTTTGAATACTGAAACCATTGTGATGGATGACGAGTGACCCTGTTTACCTGTTACCAGTTGGTGAGCCATCGAGGACGCCTGCTTAAAACGTATAGGTACATAGTGTGAAATGGCGATTCGTTTGGCAATGAAAATGAGCCCCTGAATCGTGGATCTAATCCCCAACAAAATTCTCGCCCTGGCGGTTAAGCGTAGATAACAGCCAAGCTATTATTGACTGCTGGGTGCTGACTGCTTTGTCTGGTGCCTTTGTGCTGTGCCGCACCGACTGCCGCTGACCGTTCGTCGCGCCCTCTGCCGCAGACGTGGTTCGACTCGAGCGAGCTGCTGTGCGTGGATTCGCTGGCGTTTTTCCGCGCCGTGGCCGCGGGCACCGACCGACCGGAGCCACCTCCCGCCCCGGGCGCGCCGACCGTGTACGCGCTCAACCCGACCACCCTCTCCTGCTGCCACGAGGCCGCCGACGACTCCTGCCTGGTCTGCAACCCGGGCATGTGGGTGTCGTTCGACGAGTGCGATCGCGCGATCGGCGAGTTCGAGTTCACGTCGGTGGGCAGCCGGCGCGCCATCCGCTGTCGCCACGCGGACGGTGCGCGATGTGTTGTTTGTGACCACGTGCCGCGCTACCGGCGGCCGCCGCCGCGCGTACGGCGCCGGCTGTTCCCGGAACAGGGCGCCACGACTACTGCCGGCGGCGGCCCGAAGCCCTCCCTGGCGCTGCCCGACCTCTACGAGCGCCGGTTCGGCGTGCCGCCGGCACTGAGCCACAGCGCCGCGGACGACGTGGAGGCGCTGCTGCTCCTGTGTCAGTCACACGGCGAACGTTTCTTCGACTGGGCAGACCGCAACCGCAGTCCGCTGCGTGAAGTGAAGCCCATGTGGACGCGCCGCGCCGCGCGCACACACCGCGTACTGCCCGTTTGGTGAGGTGCGTGATCCCACACCCTCTCCACAGCCTGACTGAACTGGTTCGCTGAGTATTTTACGGCGCTTCTCACCTGGAGCGATGTAATGTAAGTTTTAGGTTGCATGAAGTTTCTAGATAGTCGCGCGACGAAGTGGGCATGCTTTTGATGTATTTGTGAGATTTCACTTTGACGCTCCCTGACGACACGTGTCTAAATTCAATTCCAAACAGCTGTTTGCTGTTGTGAGTGAAATGGCCAACAGCGGGGCATTTCTATTATTGACCTGCATACCCTTTAGGTTTATGCAGTTGTTTATAGCTACTTACACCTTTGTAAAAACTTTTTTAACTTTTCAATTCGATTTTCGTCCGTTTTGAGGCTGATATACTCTGTAATGCAACTTGGTTGCAGCCATGCTTTTATCTCGCTTTCATTGACTACATTGTTTTACGCTTGATGTTTCTTGTAATTTTAGGCACACACCTGACATTTCAGTTGGTATCGGTATTTACCATTGATAGGATGACTCGCATTGGTTTCATATCGCGCTTGTATGAAATACGGACTTGTGAAAGGGTGGTTCCCACTGCCTAATAAAGGCTGTGTGTAGTTGCTTGACAGCAATCAGCTGTGATTCCGACCGACCCGGTTGGTAGTGGTGGCCTTGTCTGACACGTAATGTATGATGTTGAGATGTGACCGTAAATAAACGATGAGTTATTATGACATCGGCAATCGGAACGGGAGGCGGGAGGGGCATTGGATTGGACAATTTCGTGCCACTTGACATACCTTACGCATCGAGACACAAACTGAAAGCTGCCTACATTTAGTCGCTTGACCAGAAACTTTGTCGACACAGCCTATGTCTTGTGCTTGATCAGGGCACTAATGCTTGATATCGAGGGAACCCGACTTATTGCCCTCCCCGCCTTTTTAAACCTCCGCGTAAAATCCAAGTGGGTTCAAATCACAATTTCAGTTGAAACGTCACAGAATGACGTTTCAACTGAAATATTTGGCAAAAACGGCCTACTCGTGAGCTAGCAATGTCACTCTCACTCGCCTGGCTGAATGTCACTCTCACTCGACTCTCGAGTGGCTCATCGCAGGTCAGGGTGAAAACGGAAATGTGTGTCCAAGGACCCATGTCATTTAAAAATCATATTTCGTGTTTAAACGCAACATAAGAGCCACAGTTTGTATATTCTCAGGTCACGAAGTGGTCAATCTCATCCCGAACAGGAAATCCATAAATCAGCATTTGTTAAAGCTTCTCCTTCGGGAGAAAACGAGGCGCGATTGCCAAACAAAACAAGACACAGACATAAGTACAATATAAAATGAATCTGGACGCTTTAGAGCCCAAGAAATTAATCAAACAAAACCAGAATGAAAGCAAGACACCAAGAGCGCGTTGAGGATAAACGCGCAAATAGCGCACCTCAGTCACAAGAGGTAGCCGAAATCTGGAGCCGCGCGCCGCCCGTCCTGCGGCCGACTGGGCACGCTGTCGCACTTGAAAGCACAGAAGAGTAGCAAATCGAACACACTCCACATTTGCGCTTGCCATGTGGCAGGAATCAAAGGGAAGGCGTGCCTGCGCAGCCGGTGCCGCGGTAGAACGTTGTGCGGGCTGTCGCGTACAAGACTCGGGACTTTCACGTGCCTTAATTAGCAAACAACGTATGTCAGTGCTCTGAATATACAGTGAATGCCACCTGTGCGATAATCCATAACCCATTTGTGCTGGATTAGAGTGGCCAGTCAGGTAAACCTACCTGAATGCGTTCAGTGCACCCACAAACCAATCCAGATTGCTTCTACATTACAACAGGTACAGGGTTCAGAAAATATTAATCGGCTCACTATAAAATATAAAACAAAATAACTAATACATAAAACAATATTACGCTGAAAAAAAACTATCTGAAAACATCTACGGTTTTTCAGAGCACACTACTCAAGCACCAATCACAATTACAGAAGGTCGCGCTACTGCGCAGAGCTCAGGTATACAACACATGTAAAAAAGCCGCTTGCCAGCCGTAGCCTTCAGGTAAAAACGAAGATGAATTTCGCTAGCCGACAGAATCACACAGAACAATACATCGGCTGGCCACCGCAGCTCTCCTCGAAGAGAAACTCCTGCAGAAGGATTGATCGGATCACAGCTACCGGGAGAAAACAGTTTGTTTCTAGACAGGTTGGTGCCTAATTTTATACCATTGTTACATGCTCTTATAAAAACTTGCAATGAGACACTGATTCGATGACATCACACAGTGAATGAGTACACACAAATCACAATCCTCTGGAGCCAATCTCTCCGACCATGGATGTACCCCATCCATTCGCCGCGATCGGCTCCTAACGGGCGCAGTCGCGAGACGCAAGTCAGAGCGCCTCTGACGAGTCATCATCCAGGACACCTCTGCCTAGCTGGCAGTGTGACACCTTCAGAACGAGAAGTCGAACAGGTCGATGGCGCCCTCGGACGCCTCCAGGCAGAACGAGTAGTCGGCCTCGGAGAGTGGCGGCTCGATGGCCAGGAAGTCGTCGCTCTGCTCCAGGCGGGCCAGGTCGGCGTCCGCAGCAGCTGTCGGGGCCCCGGCAGTGGTCAGTGGACGGCACAAGCAGATACAGAGGCGGCACTCAGCAAGGACAAGGTTGGGTAATACGTCGTGAAATAAGTCTGATATGGCTAAATGAAACAGCAGCATCAACGTGAAGTACACAGGTACGCATTGCAATAGCATGGCTGCATAATTATGCACAACCGACAGAAAAATTGGTTTAAAAGTACGAGTGTAAGGCAAACTTCCATACGTCCCGCATCTCCACCTATCCACCCCGATCCATCGCCTCGGTCCGGGCCGGTGTGGTTGTAGCGCCGTCGGCCTCTCGCTGAATCCCGTGGTGCTATGGCGGTCGAACAACGCACAGCACCGCGAGGGCCAGCGGGACGCCGCCGACTACCCGACTCCCCTCAGTCCGTCCGTCAGCCGGCGCTGTCTCCACGACGACCAGCGCGCCGGCGCCGAGTGAAACTAGCCCTGTGATATGTCTGGACCACAGCACATCACCTGGCCAGTTCCCTCCGGCACCGGCCGCTCAGTATCCGCTGGGAGGGGCGAGTGTGCGGCCCAGCACACACGGTACTACCTCTGTGATATGACTCGAACGCAGCACATCACAGCGACAGTACCGGGCGCGACAGGCCGGCTCTCAGAGACGTTAGACGTGTCGTCAGCAGCTGCAGGTAGTCCATGGTTGCCATGGTCGCAGAAAACAACTAGGAGATGCATACACGACAACGCCAATGCTTTGACCAGCAAACATTTTTAAGCTTCCGGATCACGTTTTAGATTACAGCAAACACGTGGCTGCTTCGAAACTGCATACACCTACGACAAGCCAAATCCCAAACTCCGTATCGTTGCTAGGTTCTCTCGAGTCTCGACACACATACCTGACGTCTGCGGCTGCGGTTCGGTGTCGCCGCCCCTCCCGTCGTGCCGCTCCGCGCGCGGTGACCGCTCCGGCTCCGAACTGATACAGTCCGTGCCGTATCCGACCGAGCCGAGCCGGACCGTCTCCACGGGCTCCACTTTGACTCGCGGTCCGGACAGGCCGTCCAGCAGCGAGTCGCCCAGGCCGGACTCGGCGCCGGTGAGGAGGGAGTCGTCGGTACGGGTGTCTGACGGGGTCCGCGAGGGCGGGGGGAGAGGACTCTGACTGCCGGTCAGCGCAGAGTCGTCCCGCGGGCTGCGCTCCGGCCGCAGGTCGTCCTGGCACAGCAGCAGCTGAATCTCGCCCGTCTCCGAGCGCAAGTGCAGCTGGTAGACACCCTCCTGTTGACAGAGGACGGGAGAGAGTTAGTGAAACACTTTACAGTCAGCACGCGTTCTTACTTCACATGTTACGGCACAATTATCGACACACAGTTCGAAAAAGTAACAGAAAATAACACTTTCCTCATATCGTCATTAGCTTCAAACTGTGATAACTTGAGCTTTGAGACATTCAATAAATCACACTATAAATATTGCATCGAGGTGTCGCCTGTTGGGTTTAAAAGTTCGCGTCAACACAAGACGCACTATCACTGCCCGCGCGGAAGCGCAAGCTGCTCGTACATCTCACCTGTGCCGGATCAGGTACACGTAGCGTGGTCTCTGGCGGCGCCTGGATGGCCAGCACGGTGCAGTCGCGCCGGCCCGTCAGGCCGCGCAGGTCCTGGTAGCGCACATAGGCTGGCGGGCGCTGCTCGGCCAGCCGGCCGGCCAGTACCAGCAGCTGGTCCAGCTGCCGCTCGAGCCGCTCGGCGTCGGCGCGCCCGGCATCCGCCGCGCTGGCCGCCTCCGCCAGACGAACACGGTTCTTGGAGCGTTTCTCCAGCAGGCCGACCCCCTCCAGCACGTTGGTGATATCGTAGATGCGGCGTTTCTTGACGCGCAGCAGCTGGGCGGCCTGGTTCAGGTCGATCACGCCGTCACCAGCGGCTCGCACCAGGCCCACAAATCGCTTGGTGAGCGTGCCGAGCGAGGTCTCATGTCGGGACCGCTCCGCGGGCGATGGCAGACTCCCTGACGTGTCAGCTGGCGGCAGACAGGCGGAACAGTGCTAGTCGTAGTGCATGGTTGAATAGGATACAATATAGCACCTTCATACCTAATATTATAATGACCTAGGTACTAGATAGGACCAACAATACGGAGTTACTTGCGAAATACGCTTACCACAATGATTTTCCGAGATTCGTCAACCTCTATCGCCAAAATTGACAACGATGGCCATGTGACACCCGCTAGAGAATGTGGATTTAAAAAAGTTTAAAAACTCACCCTGCTTAGACGGACTGGGCGACGGGTAATCACCCGAGAGATACCTCGCTCTTCTGTGCAGGGGCGTCTTATTTGGAGTTTTGAAAGTCGCATCATGCTGAGGAGAATCTAGGTTGAGTCTTCTTTTTACGGTCTGCAAAAAGAAAGTATGTATGACACAATGATGTGTAACAATATTGGTCTGGTTTTATGGAAACTTAGGCATTTGTTACTAAATATACAGCCATTGTCAAAGTGTGATGCACTTGTTAACCAGCCTGCCTTGGAAGCTTACATTTCAACACCTTATTGATTTTACCCAAACGCGAGATTAACCCGCGCCCTGGTGGGGTCTGTTTATAACGCGACCTGGTGGGGGGGGCTATTTTTTGCCCCCCCCCCTCGTATCTCCGAAACTACTGGACGGATCCGCAAAATTCAAACGGCGTTCGAAAGGCCTGTCAAATTTGTCGAAGGAAACCAAATTTCATTGACCTCGGGGTCACCGATGACGTCACAGGTCAGGTCAAAGATGAAATGTTTCACCGTTCACGGGTCTTCTAAGGAATGCGCTATAACACCGAGGAAAACGCATTTTGTCGAGAATCAGCGATAGGGCGTCAGTTGCCTAGTAGATATGTTGCTATTAGAGGTCACTGACAATACCAGGTCACGTCACAGGTCAGGTCACCAAGGGTCACAGGTCAGGTCACATGAGCCCAACTTTACTAAGGTTGTGTGATGCATGTTTTATGGCCAATTTTTCATTTCCAACTCAATGGTGTTGGTTATAAGACTATCAGGTACGGCTTAGGTCACTTTCTGGTGAAGTTTAGGTCAAGGTCAGGTCAAGGTCAGACCAAAAAAGGTCAAATTTTAAAGTTGATAGTTTTGCATAAACAGGGTATTGATTCGATGCAGCTCGTCACGGGGAGTCTAATGGTGGTCTTTGTTTTGCGCTACGGGGTCTAGAATTGCTAAAAATTGAGTTTGAAAATTTGACGTCATCAATTTTGAACAGTTTTTTCACTATAACTTCGCCAAAAAAAGAGGTATCAATCTCAAATTTGGTATGTGGATGGAAGGCGGTAAGGACTATCACATATATTCCGGTTATTGCGAAATTCAAAAAACTTTTTGGATTTTTCGATCATTATATCCAAAAAAAATATTTTTTGATTTTTGGGGGTCAAAATCCAAAAATTTCAAAAATCCGAGATAGCAGTTTTGTAGCCCTGTCAATTCTACAGCTTTTATGTCTTTATCATTTTTCTGTATTTGCAAAGCTATAGGCCTGACAGCTCTTCCCGCGAAACCCTTTTTTGGGTCGAAAACGGCAGAACATGACGTCACTCTGACGTCATTTCCCGCCAACCTATCATAGCCTTTGGAAAAATTTTTGGTCACCATATGTAAAATTGATGTCCGGGAGGGTACTGAAAGTTTGGTTACGATCGGCGCAGCGGTTCTGGAGATATATCGAAAAGTCTGGAGGGGGGGCAAAAAATAGCCCCCCCCCCACCAGGGCGCGGGTTAACCACCACACAGCAATTCTCCCGTGGAAAGACAAAAACGATCACGTTAGGGTGACTTCTAACCTGAAGTAATGACCTCTGAACTGATGTAATCGTCTTTGCCTTTGCACGGCAGAATTATCAGAGCTTCAATTTTCAAAGCTGATGATTAAAATGAGCCGAGCCTACCTTGTGTGTGGATGTGAAGGGCCGCGCCGGCTGTATGGGCGTAGAGTGAGTGATGGTGTACTGATGGTCGATGAACGAAGACGGCTCGTCCACGAAATCAGTGTCGGGTTGATCGGCGGGGGTGCAGTCCGTGCCATACCACGAGGCATCCGAGAAGTACCCGGATGGGCCTGCCATCAGAGAACCTGAAAAAACACTGATTGTCATTTGATTACATATGACCTGTGCAACACAATTCCGGCACTTTCTCCAAATTTTAGGCATATAGTTTGTTCTCTTTGAAAGGCGGTTAACTCCATGGTTTCCAAATAAGCACACGTTTTAGCCAGCGAATGGGGCAAAAACTGAACCTGAGAAAATCGAGCGTCGACTAATTTTAAGTGCGTTTTGGAGCCAGATATTAGAAAAGTGGTGATAACATGCTGTCAAACTTGTATTGCAATGTAACATACCTATGCATACAGCATAACTACCATGGACAGAACTGCTGATTCTAACCTCTGTAACACTGTGGAAGCGGAGTTTTACTCAGATTTGTCAACACTTTGTGCCATCGTGCATACATACATTGGGTGCCAGCTGCCACAAGTGGCGTCATCAAAAACACAATTTCCCGCATTTACCGAGCATAATTTGATTTTTTTTTTTTGGCAGGGGAAGGGAAGTAAGAAATTCTTGGCCAGATGCTGAAGCTGTCAAAACTCACATGAGAGCTTTAATAATAAACTTGGAGCCAAAGGCCTTTTGAAAAAAAAAACTAATCACAATGGATAACCTTGAAATTAATTGCTGTTTATGTTTATATTGTATAAACCCGAGGGCTGTTCACACTTCACAGGCAAAGCAAATTGCTGAGTGCAGTGTTTGCGGCAGGCGTGGGGGTGGGTTAGGAGATCGGCAGTTAGTGTGGCGTCACACAGCTGTGTGTAGCTGCCAGCTGATGCCCCCCCTTGGGGCTGGCCTGACAGACCACAGCAGTCCCTGCATGCAGTATCTATTTTTCCACCCGCTAAAGGATGTTGTAGCCTGTAGGGAGGTAGTGGACTGAGCTTAGAGCCTGCTTGTGGTCACACCACACACAGGGCTGGTGAACAGCCCCCTGGGTGAACTAGACCTTTTGCACCCTAGCCTCAAAACTGAATAAAAACCACACAAATCTGTCACAAACCATATATCAACCTCAATGCATCAATGTGAGTGCTGGGAAATTATTTAAAACATGCGTTGCACCTGAAAACTAGGAACTATTTTGCATTGAACACTGATAGTTTACAGTTTTGCTCAATTTTCAAGCATACTGTGGTTATTTGAGAAGAAAGTATATCTTGTGGTTCACTTCATCCCATTTTATGGTATTTACTCTTTATTATTTTCATTTGTATGCTATCATATTTTATCTTAATGTTAGCACTGTAACAGTGATAATTTTCATTTGTTTTCACATGCGTGCATACCTGAGGTATCAGTTAAGCTGGCGTCACCGTTGGCGGTAGGTAGGTAGGTTAGGTCAGGGGGTGTCGAAGTCTAGTAGGAAAATCTGGCAAATTCCCTGCGTGACGTCACGTCGGGGATGACCGACGGCACCTTGCACTGAAAGATACGGCAGAACGGCTATTTTTGAAAAATGATTAAAAATACTTTTGTGCTGTTATGACGCATAAAACGCTTATCAGCATGTTCCTCATCATGTGATGAAGGCATATCCGTGGTCGAAAATAGCTGAGCCCCTCCCAATTTCCAACCACCGACCTCATAAGCAAAGGATGTAAGCGTAATCCTTAAGGGCGACTTTCCTATACATATCCGTACATATGCGTCCTTATGGAAATCGGTAGTGTGGCGATTGGCGACGCGCGCGACATCTGTGTGGCGACCAAGTGGCGACTGTGGCGACACCTGGTGGCTGCTTTTCTGCTGTATGTAGGCATTGGGGTTTTGCCAGATGTGGTTCCTACTGCTACACCACTATGTTGACCCAATACTAGAAAAGTTATTTTGCTAGTAAAAGGCAAGCAAATTGAAAGTTGATTTATAAAATTGCTTATAAATGATTACGAGATAATAATAAAGATATTTTGATTAAATAATTATTTAAATAATCAACCGTGAAACTATATTCTGGTAGGTTTAGTAGAAATAAGTCCATGCAACCTTGTATTTAGGGCCTTGGGTTAGGTTATAGGTTGGTAGTTTTTAGGTGACGGTTGGTAGGTTGTAGGCTAGGAGGCAAGGTTGGGTCAGGTTAGATTGTCTTTTTACTCTAACTTCATCTACATATTTGCCGGTTAGCAGCGACGGTGACGCCAGCTTTACTGATATTGATATAGACCAGGATACCGCACTGTGAAGAGGTTGAGGTGAGGGGATGGTGTTTTGTTTTTTATGTTTTAGCACATGTATCAATTTTTGATTCAGGATGTCAAATGACACAGGCATATGGAAGATTTATCCTTGAAAGGTCATACGGACTTTATCTTCACATTCACTGACCACACCTTCGGCTTTTTTTTTTCTACACCGCCACCCATTATCAGGTGACCAGGAGTGCCCCCTCCCTCTATCCCAACGACACACAGAACCTTACGTTAACACCACCAGGAAAATAATGAAGACAATTGTCGCGGCACTCCCAGCTAGGAAATGAAACAAACTCAAGGAAGCAAAAAACGAGACACATTATCATGCTGTTAGTATAAAGGTGTAAGAGAAGGCATAGTAGTCATAACTGAAAACAGTTAGTGACTAGTTTCTAATTCCCAGGAGTACACATTCGTTCATACATCCACACAGGAGCAGTGTTAGAAGGATTCAGATGAAGGGAATCATGCATGCAGGGGTATTATATACAAATCTGCTGGTCAGTGTTCAAGCTGGGTCATTTACTGAATCTCCGTTGTTTTGCCCAGCTAAGCGAGGCTTGTTGCTGGGCAACCAACGGAGATCAGTTCCATGAGAATGAGTGGTTATGTAGAGTATGCGAGGGAAATGAAATGAAATGAAATGAAAACAAAAAAAATATACTAGTAATAATAATAATAATAACAATAAAAATAATAATAATAATAATAATAATAATAATAATAATAATAATAATAATAATGAATAAGAGTAAAAAATAATAAAAATAATAATAAAAATAATAATAAATAAAAACAATGGTGAAGAAAAATAAACCATGAGGTAAGAGTAAAGATATCATGATAGTGCACCATGTGATTTATAGTTTTCGTAATGTTACGAACCTCCACAATATACTTAATGTGAGAGTATTGTATTACATAATCAATACTTGCTCAAAAAGTAGTTTTTTGTTAGTCTTTTTTTTTGTGTGTTTTGAATGAGGCACCAGAGGCACAGCAGGGTAAACGGGGACCATTATCTGATTCCACAGCCTTGGACCAGCCCATGAGATTGTGTGTGTTTTATATAATTTGTACGAAAATATTTCTTTGAAGTGTTTGTTATAACGACTGTTTCTATTTTGTTCTACTCTCTCAAATAATTCATCAATCGAAAGTGGTAAGATTCCTTGAATCTTTTTATGTAGTAGTAACAACATCTGTTGTCGCCCGATGTCCTGGATACGAAGAAGTTTAAATTTTTTGAAGATTGGTGCAGTGTGCGCTAATCTACATTGGCCGTCTATTAATCTAACGACACGCTTCTGTATTTTGTCTAATTCACCTAGGTTTGTTATGTACGTATTACTGTAGATAAAGCAGCAATAATTAACGTGAGACAGAAAGAGTGAGTTGTAGAGTAATAACAAATGTTTACTGTCCAGGAAAAATTTCAATTTAAACATAATACCTACATTTCTCGACAGTACTTTCTGGAGTTTGGAGATATGAGTTCTCCACTTCATATCCTCATCTATGAAAATACCAAGATATTTAACAGTATTAGTACGTTGTAATATCACACCATTCAGTTCGATTCGCAATTCAAGTTGTCGTTTCTTGTTCGTGTATATCTGATAATATGTTTTATCAGCATTGAGAGACAGTTGGTTAGAAGTAAACCATTCAGCTACCTTTGGCATCAAGGTATTTAATCTTGTTTGTAAAATATGCTCACTTTCCCCTTCTATTAAAATAGCAGTGTCATCAGCATATAAGAGTGTACTTATGTGTTCACCACATATCAAAGGGAGATCATTTATATAAAGTATAAACAGAAGTGGTCCCAAAATTGATCCCTGAGGGACTCCAATATCAATTGGAAGGAAGGATGAACGCATGCCATTTATTTCCACACACTGGGTACGGTCACTGAGATATGAGTGAAACATCATATGGGCATCTTCAGAAATACCGTACTGAAGTAATTTTCTAAGAAGAATTTCCTTGTCAACAGTATCAAATGCTTTACGTAAATCGAGATAAATGCCGCACATGTTCGAATCACTTTCAAACGCACTTATGATTTTGTCTTGTAATAACACTATAGGCATGTATGTACTCATGCCAGATCTAAAGCCAAACTGTTTGTCACTGATAATTTGGTTCAAGAATAAGTGTTGGCTTAAACGAGCATATATTATCTTTTCTAATAGCTTAGAAATAACTGGAAGTAACGATATTGGTCTATAGTTACTAAAAATATGTTTGTCGCCGGCTTTATAAATTGGTTTTATAACTGCTTGTTTTAATAATGTTGGAAAGACACTATTCTCAAGACACAGATTTAAAAAATGTACAATTTGTACCATTATAGCACTGAATGTTGATTTAAATATTTTGGTATTTATTTTATCATGACCACCTCCCACATTTCGCATATCATGAACAATCTTCTTTACTTCTTCCTCATCTGTTCTACACAATTCACGTAGCGGAGTTCCTACAAAGTTAGGAAGATAATCTATCGGATCTTTATTGGAATGGTTAATGTTATTTTTAAGCTTCCTTCCAACGCTGGTAAAGTAGGAGTTGAAGCTTTCGGCAATGTTTTTAGGGCCTTCCACCAGGCCACTATCGGTTTTAAATGCTTCTGGCAATCTGGTGTTATCCGGGGCACCTGATGTGAGTTCTTTAATGATGCCCCAAGTCTTTTTGGGATCCGAAGTTTTTAGGTTATTTTGTATGTATGCTTTCTTTGCCTCACGTATAATACCTACAAGCACGTTACGGTATTTGCGATATTTAGTGATGTTTTCGTAAGAAGGTGTTTTATTTTTTACCAAAAACAGAACATTTTTTCTCACTATAGATGTTAGAATTCCTGGAGTAATCCAAGGTTTTTTGGAAGTATTTTTTCGTGATGGCACGAAGGTCTTGCTGAATTTCCGTATTCCAACAGCGTAGGACTCAATAATCCTCTCACATGCTACATTAGGGTCCGTTACATGTAAAAGGTCATGTAAGTCATTCTGCAAATGATTTTGCAGATCAGCTACCTTATTATAGTTAAAAACTGTAATGGCATTCATCATCCTATCATTGCTAGGTTTCGCTGTTTTAATGGTTATGAATACTGGAAAGTGATCTGACAAATCATTATATATGATTCCTGGACCACTTGTAATTGATATATTGTTGCAATATATATTGTCTATAAGCGATGCTCTAGTCTCACATTCTCTGGTTGGTAGAGAAATTAGGGGAAGAAAACCAAAGGACAACAGCATATTAAAAAATACTTCAACGTCATGGTCGTTGTTGATATCATATAGGTCATAGTTAAAATCACCAGCGATGATTACTGGATGAGTAGGTGTAGTGATGGTTTCAAGAATAAGAGACATCTGTTCATTAAACTGAGCTGGGCAAATATCTGGAGGTCTGTAGAACTGTGCGATAGTTACTTTAGAAGAAGGTAAGCTGCACTGCACTACAACCGACTCAGTGCCAGTCGGAGACTCCATGACCAGGCGAGTGGTGGAGACGAAACCGTCTGTCCGTACGTATACGGCTGATCCACCGCCCACTCGTCCAACTCGATTTTCATAAAATGCAGTGTATCCTTCTATGTTACGGTGTTTATCAATTTCGTCGTTTAACCATGTTTCCGATATACATATAACGTCCCATTGTATATCCGTCATGTGCAGAAAGGTAAGAAGGGATTCATACTTTTCAGTACTTAAAAGTGACCGAACATTAATGTGTATAACATACAGCTTTTCTGGGTCTTTAGAGCCAGTAGGTACATCACTTGTGAGTACATAGTATTTGCAGCTTGTTCTTATTGATTCAAAATCATGATTGACAGTCTCGTCGTAATCAGTGTTTGTTTCATGAAATGGATGCAATATCTTATCATATAAACGTGGAAGCTCATTATAACTAACCGTAGTTAATGGCATATAACGCTGTGCAGTGTATACAACACAAGGAAATTGAGTAACTAGAACGAAACTCGGTCGAGCTAGCGTTTGGGATGAACCGATGTAAGGTGATGATATACTATTATATGTCAATCAATGTAATATTCCGGGTCGATTGCATACAAATACGCAGTGTCCAGAGCGGATATGACGCAGAACCCAATTTTAAACTTAATTCAAGGCGGTCACAAGCCAAACCCAGCAGGCCAGCAGCAGGGGCCGCGGCAGAGACATACCCCGAGACCACCAGCCGACCACCGCCGGCCCCAGGCAGTCCAAGAGGCACCGTGGGACCAGCAACAGCCGGCCGCAGTCACGGAAACACCGCCACCCAACCCCCGCCACGGCCGGGCCGGCGGCCAGAAGGCCTAGAGCGTGGCCCGCTCCAGAGTTGGCTGCATACGACAGCGCCATCTAGGTACTGTCAGAGATGACCGCCATCTATCGGTCGAGCGTTACTCTAGGCATAATACCGGAGGAGTGCTAAGTTGGGTCAGCCTACAATACCTAATAGACTCACAAGTCACAAACACACATTTCACACATAATGCACAATGTACACACACACACTCCATTATACATCCATGCATATATAAAGAGCAAACGGAAATATCCATAATTATAGCACAATTCAAGTAGGTACTGATTTGATCCTCAGGGCTGGCTGGATAAAATCAATGGAAAGATGAGTCACACATTGAATAAACGAGATCAGCATACATTAACTAGTGTAAACAAAAAAAAGAAGAAAAAACAACATTATTGACATACCTTAGGAAAGGAAAGGTAATTTAATCAGATCACCTGAATTATGATAATAGATAGCTTATAATACATTTCACATGTAATGCTGCAGCTAATGAATCCAAAAGAAAAAAGCAGGACACCTGTTGGCCAACAGTCAGCACCACCCATCATCAAACACTTCACATTCCATCTTAGATATTATAAGTTCCGTAACTGTTATTACAGTTGGCTGTATAAAAAAGATGCATAGATAGTATGCATTAGCCCATCCTCTCACCAGATGCCCGCATTTTGGAGGCAAAGGTCAAGTTTTGCCAGTTCGTGCTCAAGGCATATCAAGCATTCCATCCAACTCACAAGTCACATTCATTCATAAAATGGTCATTCTGCCTGACCAGGTGCCCAGGCACTCACACATAGCCCATACAGGTTAAAACAGATAAAATGGGTTTTCTGCCAACCCAAGCTCAGTGGTGTTCATTCATACCTTGGTTCACCATGGAGCTCACCCACACTCATGAAGTTAAAATCAGGGTAAAATAGCCATGAAGGCCAGGCACCAAAGGTGCTCAGTCATCCATCCACACAGGTTAAAAAGGTCCGAGCTGGACCTGGTGCCAAAGCACTGGCTCTTCACCCATACATTTTGGAAGTATGCCAGTGCAGGATCATACTCCAGTTTGAAGCAGTCACTTCACTTAGTGGGTTAAGTGAACTGTTATCAAAATGCTGCATGAAGGTGGTGATGAGCCTCTGCTGTACATTCAGCAATCAACAAGCTTTAGTGTAAATGATCATTGATCAGTTAACATCAGAAGGGTGGTGTATGACATGGCCATGATCGAATGCAAGTGTCCGAAGCATAGGAAGAACCTGCTACAAGTTACAACAGGTGACCTAATTATATAGGTACTTGAAGTTATGTACTTGTTGAGCTTGATGACCACAATATCACATTTGTAATTAAGACGGAGTTACCAAGTATTGGTAGCATTGGTAGGTAGGAAGGTGCAACATAACAATATAGCATTTACTATAAAGGTGAAGTTACCAAGAATTGGTAGGTTAGGAAGGTGCAAGGGTGATGTCTTAAACAATGAAAAACAAATCCAGCCAGCCCCGGAGTCAGGAGTAGGTACTCACACTCCCATCACATCACACTCACAATGAGACAGTGTGACAGAAGATGCAGGCACCTGAATACATACAATACGAACAGAGGAATGCAAGAAAAAAAAAATATTCACACCACATGCCACAATGTACCCACCTATGAGACAGGACAGGTAAGGTACACACTACAAATGTAGGATATGGTAGGTTCAGGTTCTCAGTGCAAACCTACTGTGAATTCACTTTTGTCTGACCCCGAGTCTGTCGTTTGTTTGGTACCACATATTCGGCCAGGTCAGACACCCGACCTGCCACTGTACCAGGTGGGATGTTGTTGAGGGTCTGCGACTTCATCAAGTTATCGCGTGGCAAGGGTCCAGTTTTTTTTTGCATTTTTCACCAGATCAATGATTTCCTGCTCAGTGTACCATGGTTCGATGATGGAGTACCTGTTGTCACGTGAGCTCCTGGCATATATGGTTCCATTTTTTGTATGATAATTGAATATCATGTTTTTCTCCCTCATCTGACCTAGCTGCCTGATCATGGTTGCTCTGGTTTCTGTGAGATTTTCATGGATGACTACCCTTCCGTTGGCATCCTGAGACTGCTCAAATCTGGCCTGATATACAGCCTCGCGATCATCCATGTCCTGAAATTTAACCAGTACTCTCTTTTTGTTTTTCAGCCTGTGGCAAGCCACTATGGCTCCCTGCATGTCTACTTTCAGTTTGTTCTTTATTACATCTGCTACTAGGGCCCTGGTTTCAGATGTCGTTTCTTGATGATCTGTTTTTGGAAGTGGAACGCCATCACCCCCCAAGATGAGTGTCGACTTCCTATTGTACTGCTCGTTTCTTTCTATCATCCTCTCAGCATTGATGACCCTTGTCTTCAATTCCAAATTTTCTGCCTGCAGGGCAACAAGCTCCGCCTTGACAGTAGATATCTCATTTTTGAACTCGTCTCTTATTTTACTAGTAGCCTCTTTTACTGCATCACCCACTATTTTTGATATTTCATCCATGCTGATATTAACGCTCATCCCAAACACCCAAAAGTACTAGAACTTGAGAAAGAAAAAAAGGACAAACCCACCAGCACAACAGTTAATTTGGAGAAGAAAAAAAACAGCTAAAGGAGGAATGGGCCCTGAAACCCTTCCTCAAACAATAAGAAAAACTAAGAAAACAAAGATCTTGTTAACTGATAACCCAGAAATCACTGCCACAAAGCACAAAGATCTCGCGCCACAATCGTCCCAAAAGTCGTGGTCCTCCGCACGTCCGCCCCCCAAGCGCCCAACGAACGGAGTGAAGGCTTTGCGTGCCTGAGGAACGCCCGAGCTCTCATCAAAACCTGCCACATTTTGCATTCTAGACCTTTCCCTACATTTTGATTTGTAACTCCACATCTTATGTTCCCACACCAATGAGTAGCACAACTCTAGATTAGCACATGCCACTATATTCAACAAAAACAGACCTGCTCATTCCCTCACCAATGATGCTTTCCTTATTCATATATAACTAAAAGGCTTCCCTCCATGCTTGGCATTCCAATTCTCTCACAATCGTGATCAACGCGACACCGCAGCTCCGGTTTTTCACTTATTTTATAAGCAACTCAGTCAGCTCACACTCACCATGAAGTCCAATAGTGTGCAATGCAACATTAATTTAGGGCACATCCTATCTATGAGAACAAAATGGCCCAAATATATTGCAATCCACCAACACCCCCACCACGCTGCGGCTCAAAGACGCCATTTCCCGCGTCGCAACTGCCGCATTTCACTCGGAGCCCCAACGGAAGTTTTGAATAAAAATGGCGCGAAATGACATAAGCAAAAAATCTAAGGATTATTTTTATTATTTTTGGCTGTCAACTAGGAATTTAGCACGAATTTAGTACATTTTACAATGGGAATCCTTAAGTTATGTGAAGAAAAATTAAAACATGAGAAAAATAACAGCACCTCACCGACTTCACCGTACTTTAGCGACACCTATGATCGAATGCATTATGTGCGGTCCTACTTACAGAACTGTCGCTAGGTGGCAGTATGGGGTTGCGCCTGAAGTTATGCTGTACCGCAAGAACAGGCGCTTATTGCCTCGATCTGGGCTTAGCAAAAAAGGGCGATTGTCGGTTTCACCATTCCGTCGTTTCCATCCTCAGGATAATCACATCTTTTTCTTCCACACCCAGACCACATGATGCAGGCTAGATGGGCAACTTTATCTCATGCGGGCAGCTCCAACTAAGCACACACGTAGCCGGGTGTAACGTGAATGAGGGGGGGGGGGGGGGGAGACGACTCACTAGGGTGCCCGCCCAGACCAATTTCTTCCCTAATTCCTATCATCCTTCTCGCTCTGAAACTGGTCTCGTCAGACCTTCAAAAAACCTAACCCAGCAAACAAACAAATGTTCACAAACAAACAAACAGCAAAGCAAACAAACAAATAATTGCTGATTGGCATAGGTGAGAACAGTCCATAATTCAATATTCGTTGAACGTTCATTCGTTCCGGAACGCTGTTACAGTTTTCAGGAACGGTAGCGAGCAGAACGGACTCGCTACATAAATAAGTACCTAATGGAAAGTGTTAGGGGAAAGTGGGTGTATTGCGCCCTCCTAACCAATTGCGCCCACCAACATTCCCACGGATTCAATGGCATGTTTAAAATTTTGTGTTCGAAAACATTATTTTCACCACTGGATTGTTCATTTTATGGCCCAAACACTCCGATGAAGCCAATCAGCATGGCTCATTACGCCATCAAAGATGTTATGGCGTTTTCTTAACTTTTTTTGCAGTACTTTGAACCGTTGGCTATAAAAATTTACGTTATTTGTGTGATTTTCAGAGTGATAATTAGAAAGAAAACCCCTTTTTTCATTGTATTTCACTGAAACCGTAAACTTCCTGCAACATCTTAATGATAACTTCTATGCTTTTATTAAAAAGTACCTCAATTTTAATTGCGCCCATGGCAATTGCGCCAGGGGGCGCAAATAGAATAATGGTGTAGCCATTGTATCACGACAGTATGAATGCATCATTAACTGATTGCAATAAAGAAGGAGTTTAATGTCAGGCAAAGGAGCAGCCCGCTGTCGTCAGTCCGCAAATTATCTCTATCGTCAAACTTATAATGCAGCTGCCATTTAGGCTACGACTTGTGGTGTAATTGACAAAATACGACATTTTCAACATGGACTCAGGCGTGAGAAGTGACAGCTATGATAAAAAAGTAAAAACTGATGTCATTAAGTTGTCAAAACGATAAAAATTGTTAATTTTGAGAGAACCGATTGAAAATTAAACTGTATAGGCGCATAAGTTCACATATATCTAGTCGGTTACAGTAAACGTTTTCGTTGCATTTTTACAAGCGTACGGACACATGTAAAGTTATCTACCTGGGCAAAAAACATCGCGATTTATATCTACATTTATTATTCATCCAGCCTGAATAACATTATAAATGTTTAAGTAAGCCGCAATGACATTAGACTGCCGGGGTGTATGCATTCCGTCTCATTCACTCAGCCATGTTAAAGTATAGGGCGCAATTGGGTTCTAATTGCGCCATCCCCCTGGCGCAATTTACAGCAGTTGTTGGCAAATGCGCCCTTTTGCATGTTTCTGAAAAAGCAGCTGTCAGAAGCAAACGAAACATTCTTAATTGATCGGGAGGCTCTCAAATCGTAGCCAATGAGCTCCCCTTTGAAATGGTTACCAGTGCATGCTTATATCTCCAGCACTTTTCTTGCAATTAACGTTTTTCCTTAAGGTGGCGCAATTCACCCTCCTTCCCCTACATTTTTTGTCCAGCTCCGTTACAATTCTGTCAGTTCAGCTCCATCGATATTCGCTCCATCGTTCCTCCGTTGCCTTATTGTCCCATTGTTTGGTTGACTAGTGACTACATCCTAACGAGTTAATCTAGCAATTTATCCCCAGCTTTTGCTGTAGCAGTGTGGCAGCAGAAAAGACAAGAGTCTTTTTCTCATGGTTTATTGGTCCGGCTGGTGAATTCTAAGTGTTATCTGTACTCACTGTAGGTATGTATGTACCTACCACGCAATACTGCTGGACTTTGATTGACGGCACGGCCCACCCACCAGTACCGGGGCACGGCTGTCATCCCAACCAATATCACTTTGCTCATAGTCCAAAGCTGGTCACTCTCCAGTCTGTCGGTCACTCGGCAACCAGCCGTTCCCTCGTCCCAGCCTTTCGGTGGCCATCTCCTCGTTATATACCCTGATTTCCTCAGCCCGGCGGGCGCAGGGTCTCCCGTTAGCGACCCGCTGGAGGGCCAGCAGCGGCGGCCAGCTCTCTCGGGGGCTTAGTTGGCGGTCTGCTGTACCGGCGGTTTGTGTTAGTGCCTGTCTCGTTTTGGATATGTGCGAAATATAGGGCTTACAAAACACTTTCTATAACATAGTTCATTTTGTTACCATTTTTGGGGTTAGACCGTTAAATTGAGATTCATACCTATGCCTACAGCCTAGTCCAATAAAGTAGCAAGAAAAAGTAAAACTAGTAAAAGAGAAACGTATGCTAGACCAAGCACGGGGCAGATAGACAATGCCCATTATTTGCGTCATAGATAGGAATGTTAAGCCAGGGTAACGTTTATTTCTTTCGCTATACATAACACTGTCCTTTTCAGGTATTCATATTTACAATTTACACGAGCATCGGCACAAATTGCACAAACAGAAGCCTCCCCACTCCACTAATAAAAGACAAATGGCTCAGCTCTCCTGCTGAAGTCAGATATAGGTACACGTCACTCTAGTTTCATTCACAGACGTTGAACTGGCGCGTCACATTTCAATCTCATGTTGGCTTAGACTTCGAGGGTCTGTGCTCTTCATATTTCACCGACAAAGTGGGGCAACGAAGTGAAATGATGTGTTTAGCTGCTATAACATCTTACACACACTACTCTTATAGGTCAGACTTACCTACAATAAATTACAGCACGGCACGCACTAGTTTAAAACTGAATAAGCGGATAAAGAGCGATGCACAAACTGTCGCAGGTACATGTAGGAATTCTAATATATGATATCAATGGTATGAAATTGAAACATACCTATTTATATTCGAAATAAAGGCATGCACAATTGACAACGCTCCGTCTCAAATGTACTAGCTGGTGTGAGCACAATTATTTCACGATACGAATACTCTCGCTTTCGGTCGAGTCGACACACATTTGTCCTATAATTTGTGCCGCCGACCATATAGACGTCCACGTCGAATGCACTACCTTCCGATAGCATTTACCGGGATGATAGTGTGTTTTATTAAGCATCTGATCTAGCAAGTAAAGCACTACGCATGAGTAAGCAAAAAACATACCAATTATCGTATGGTACAAACGATCACAGAGTGCAAGCACATCACAGAGTATGCACAGTTATATAACGAGCTTATGAACATGGCCGTAGAACGCCACAAATGAGTTGGCTTCCTTACGCGAATCAGATGTTAACACCTGTCTCACTCTTCCAGAGGCTATAGTGACCTGAAAGGTCAACATAATCTGATTGAAAGTGACCTTAGGCGTTACGCTCACATCTGTGCAAATTTTTCCACTTGTAAGACTATTTATCTAATTGATAAAAAGTAACTTATTTTATCCTTGCCTATTTTGGCGATGCCTTCAACATCAGCAAGGTGATATACATATCGATGTCAACAGTGTCTACGCATGGACTTATTAGGCACAGTCTCGAACAAACGCATTCAGCAAGAGCATCTGACAGTCTTCTATAGCTTTTATAGAGGATAAATGCGACGGATGCAAAAAAGTGGCCGAAAAATTGAGCTTCGGGAAAAGGGAGTTATCCTTATATTGAAAGGACGAGTAGCTACGTTGTACACGAATCAAAATCATGCAGACCTAACCACGCTTGAGATATGTCTTCCGGCGTCATCGTGATCGCTTTTCCGTCTATATTTCCTACCAAAACACATCTGTACAAGATACTACTGTGAGCACGACTAGCACCACCGCACCGTGCCTCCCCCACGCCGAACTTTTGGCCTCTTCCGAGCGCAGGTCGGGCCAATCGGCGGCCTGCCCGCGGGGTCGGGCGGGCTCATCTTGGCGCCCGTAAGGGAAGTCCTCGTCGTCAGTGAAGGGCGGCAGGTCGCCGCTCGGCTCGTACTCTCTGGTGTCGCCCAGAGGTCGGCTCGGCTCGGTGAAATACTCGTCCGGGCCGGTGGAGGAGGGCAGCATCACCCCTGTGAACACAAGGCGGGCGATGACATCAGACACGACTTCAAATCTATAATGCGGTATGGTCGCTCATTTCGATGCTGCTGCCCGCAGCAGTCGAAAGCATGGTCGAATGGCATGACGTCAGCGTCTCTACACGAGCCACTAATGACCAGCTCCTGAGGGCGTCAAGTACGTTCGTCACTGTTCACTCCCTCCCGTTATCCCCTCATACCCGATATTCGATTCCGATCGGTCAAGCTAGCAGCAGTAGGTATTTAGCAGCAGAGCATTGGGTGCAGGGTAACATGAGAAGTTACCTAGGTCATCGGTTGCATTACTAGTATTTTTACACAAAAACTTGGGCGGGACCAGCCGAGGTCCTGGGTGCCAGAGACAACACCTGCGAGGGCCCGCCACTGTGAAAGCGTGTCCTGTGTGAGAGGGCCGCTTACAGCCATGCTGTACATACTGTAACTAGCTTCACATGTATTTCGTTACACAGCTGCCGCAAGATGTCACGGCTACACCATGCACCTGAAGTTATGATGTACCGCACATCTCCAAGCCTAGGTTGTACCGCTGCCGCTAGATGTCACTACACCATGCGCCTGAAGTTATGCTGTACCGCACAATCCACATCTCCAAACCTTTGCTATACCACTGCCGCTAGATGTCACTACAGTTTTCGCCTGAAGTTATGCTGTACCGCACATCTCCAAACCTATGTTGTACCGCTGCCGCTAGATGTCACTACAGTTTGCGCCTGAAGTTATGTTGTACCGCACATCTCCAGACTCCAAACCTATGTTGTACCGCTACCGTTAGATAGCACTACCACCGTTCCGTGCTTCTATCCTCAGGATACTGAAATCCTTCTCCCCAACGCCGCAACCCCCCTCCGGCCTAGACAGGCAACTTTATCTCATGCGGGCTGCTCCCGAGGGAGCTGCACCCCGTAGCCGGGTGCAGAGAGTGCTTGGGGGGCTAGTCGGCCTGTCCATTTGGACGGGCTCAGCCCCGGCGACTCTCTAGGGTGCCTGCCCAGACCAATGTCTCCCCCTAATTCCTATCATCCTTCCGGCTCTGAAATGGTCTTGTCAGACCGAAAGGGCCTAACCCAACAAAACAAAAAACAAACAAAGATAGCACTACAGCTTGCGCCTGAAGTTATGCTGTACCGCACATCTCCAAACCTATGTTGTAGCCTATGTTGTTGTAAATGGACCTAAATTTAATAAATTCGTTTACCAAGAATGCCGGTCTTACACACCTAGCTTTTCTCTGGCCCAGGATGGTGTACTTTCACTTCGCACCGGTTTTGGCTCTACAAAGGTCCCGATCGACAAATAGCGCTCGCTCACGTCAGTGACACTCCCCAAAGTGGCGGTCTTCCCACGTTCCGACCCGGCGCCAATGTGCGGGTGTCGCCAAAGTACCGACCACCGCCGCGCCAGCCGGTCTGTCCTCTGTGATTGCACAGTGCCATCCACCGCCACACGCGCCGGAACTGTCTCAATCGCAGGGTGCGGCGTGAAGTGACGCATCGACCTGCCGTGGTAAAACGCGACCACAGAGCTCGATAGATGGCGGTCGACATCAACCCCGTTTAGAGATATATAGTCGGGGCGTTCCGCGTTAGAGATCATAGGCTGTGTTAGGGATCATAGATCTCTTGGGACCGTAAGAGATAATAAGTTACCCGATATCTGACCGTGAGGATCTGTGATCTACTTCTGTTCGATCGATGACTCACTGTGCAGTGTGATGACGCCCTCGGCCTCTCCGATGGAGTTTTTGGCGACGCAGCGGTATGAGGCGAAGTCCTCCTCTCGTACCGGTGAAATGGTCAGCGTCATGTTGTAGCGGTAGAGGGAGCTGGAGTTGCCATACCTCCTTCGGCTGTCAGAGAGGATGATCGCATCTGTCGGGAAAGATAACTCTGTTAGAGACAGTAGGCGCTGTCAAAGAGAACAATTGTATCTGTCAGAGACATAAATATAGAAAATGACAGCGTATCTGTCGGCATGCGAAGTTTTTTTTTGTCAGGGATGATACCTAATAGCCGTTTTCACGACGGGCTATCCGGCGAATGTACCTGATTTGACCAAATCTGCACCTAATTTCTTTTACAGCAAATATCTTCATTTTATGAATTTATTTTAGTGTGCTCTCTGATAATATGACAAAGCAGGCATATAAGCAATTAGTGCAACCCTAGCTGATAGCTGCTAAGAGACACACTGAACCTGATTTGACCAAATCTGCACCTAATCTGTACCAGCTGTGCACCAAATGTGTACCAGATGGCCGTCGTGAAAAGGGCATTGTCGGGGGATCATCGCATCTGCTGACATATATGTATGTAGATGACTGTCAGGCACGTCATTGTCAGAAAGGACCATCGATCTGTCGGAATGGGGAATGAATTCCGTCGGAGACGATAATGTCAGAAGAGTTAATCGAATCTGTCGACATAGTGAACAGACGTTGCAGAGCAACGTCAACTTGTAAAACATCAAACGTCTCAGTCAGTTTGTGATGCAACGATCTATTTGCTAAAAAGTATGTGGGCCATTGATAGTAGGCATGTTGGTAATAAAAAGTGGACAGCTGACTGGATGGCCCTAGGGCATATCCACTAGAGATGTCAATCGGATACCAACTTTTTGGTATACCGATACCAAACCGATACCAACTCGGTGTTTGGTATTTCAATCCTAATGTGTTTGGTATTTTGTTGGTATCATGAACCCTCGCTAACGTTTAAGAGGCTAAGAAATCGGTAAAATATTGGTATTTTCCTCATGTTGCCAAATTGGTTTGGTTTCGGTATTTCTCCACGGTTTTGGTTGGTATTTGGTTTGGTATCGGTATTCCAATTTTCCGTAATTGACATCACTAATATCCACCCCGTGCCACCATGGGTCATGTGCCAATTTCCTTTTAGGAGGCCTCGGGACTGTCGGTTCCAGCGCTGTTCGAGTCTGTGAATCACGTCTTACGCCCTGGAGTGAGCTATCTTTTTATTTGCCAACCGAGAGATTCTTTTATCTCATCCTCTTTCCGGAATATGTCAGAATGAGATGGTATCGCCGCAGCGCTGAAAAGACGTGGCACCGGCTCTCTGTCCGCCATTATGAGGCAAAAAAATGAAACAGACTGGATAAAGGAGATGATGCTTAAATAAATTTAAAACATTTTACTGGCCTAATTATAAATGTGATTTTTAAAATGAGCATCTAATAAAATCTAAATCAATAATAAGAATACCTATTAATAAGCAGGACCAGATATTAATGTAAAATTAACCAATTATCCATATGGCAAATGCTTGTGGCCAAAATCACATAAAAAGATGCATAAAATTGGTACAAAAGTTACGTTTTTAGGTTACATTTAACTTAACTCAAACTGGTGACGATAATGCTTGTATGTGCCCTTCGATATGAACTAAATTGTTCTTCATTTGCAAATAATTTGGCTAAGCCATTTGCATTGAATAACACCGAACTTCTTTACGGCTGTCTCGCCACCCTTCCTTTGCCTGTTACACCAGCAGTTTTAGTTTACTTCGACGCCGGTCGCCCCCGCTGCCGCCCACCGCCGCTCGTCGCCCGGCGTCTCCCGTCGCTCGGCGTCTCCTCTCCTATCTGCCTCACCCGCTGGACGGGTTTTTATGCGAGACTGGGCATGAGGCGGCCGGCAGGGCGGAAGTTTAATAAGTCGCGCGCCGGTCCGGTTTATTCGTCTGTGAGGCACCGGCTCAGTGGCACGCACGAGCCGCCAGTAGCCGCTGGGGTGTGGGTCGCACCGCTGGAGATTTACCCAACAGCACAACACGGCCGGCGCGGCGGCGGAGCTCGGCACCGGCACCGGAGCGGTAGCGACTAGCGACACGGTGCCGCGCGCACCGGGACCCCATTTATTCCCTGTCGATAAGATTAGTGGGGCCGGTGGCACTTGTGGGAGTCCGCGACAAACATTAAACTGCCACTGCCGCCGCCATCGAGCCCGACTGAAGACAGCAGTGAACACACAATGTGCACTCCACGCTGGACACGACCTGTGATATATTGAAAATGATGTTTTAGAGAGAAGGAAAATGAAGCGGGACTTTCGACAATCTTCACGTAACAGAAAATTATTCTGCGCACGTAAAATGATTTTATTTTTCGATCTCAGTTAAGTATCACAATGGAAATAAGATCTTAAGAAGGTAGAACGAGGCTAACGCAACAAGTTCCGCCTAGCGGGAGCTCTGTCCTTGTGAATCCTTCCATTCAAAAGATTCGAACCAACTTTATTTTTTTTAAATCTTCCAACTTGTAGCATGTGACAGTTTGCTTGCGACGAGTATTTGTGACAAATATCAGCTGACTCACCGTTTCCGCGTGACCAGTAGTAGATGGCCTGTGGCGACGCCTCGACCCGACAGGCCATCATGACAGTGCCGCCGATGTGGGCTGACAACAGGGCATTGGTGACCTCCACCTGAGGTGGAACTGGCGACGGAGAGAGAGCACAGGTCAGGGTGAGAACAACGGGAGAGAGAGAGAGAGAGAGAGAGAGAGAGAGAGAGAGAGAGAGAGAGAGAGAGAGAGAGAGAGAGAGAGAGAGAGAGAGAGAGAGAGAGAGAGAGAGAGAGAGAGAGAGAGAGAGAGAGAGAGAGAGAGAGAGAGAGAGAGAGAGAGAGAGAGAGAGAGAGAGAGAGAGAGAGAGAGAGAGAGAGAGAGACGATAGGTGAGGTTCTGAAAAGAAACGCACCGAAGATCACGGTCGACGGTCAAATAAAAAAGAACGCGCAAAGTCCACGTTCTTGATAATTATCAATCCAGCTTTCCATTAGCTGCACAATGCACATCTCCCATGACGTGAAGCAAATAATCAATAATGATCAAATTAGATTTTAAATTCAAGGGTGTCTGATATTCAAAATAAATTCGTGCGGGTCATTAATGATAGCAAATTTAAAGGCAAAACAAAAGGACAAATTCACAATGGATCCGTAGTTGCCCTAAATTACCTGAGAAAAGAAGAAAGGTTATTGACCGGGAAATAATTCACACCAATACGTCTTGTTTCTCAGCTTACTGAACCAGTCCATGAACCAGTCCAAGCAAATGAAAAAAGCATGCCCTTTTTAAGCTCGAATCGACTTTTGTCTTTTCTCGAGCGTGCGTCCAAATCAAAACCATGTTTAAGCTAATAATTACGACGTGCCTAGTATTGCCGCATTATGGTCTACTCTCAGTTCCTCATTTGTAAGCCTAAGCGTACAACTTGATTGGTAATCGAGTTTTCACGGGGTGGTTCCCTCAGTGAGATACTTGAAAGCTCGAGTATAGAGGGTGACCGTGATGATAGGACGAAATGATCGGAATAATTTCTACAGCGTCCTGGTCCGTGGTCGCCGTTGAGCACGTTGCTCGGTGGTGCTTGGGGGGTGTCCAAATACTACAACCCACCAGAACCAAAAATTTCGAATATTTGTATTGTAAATTTATATGTAGTGTACGATATTGATGTCGCCAATGCCAGTGTTTTTCATAACATGAACAATAATGAACAATAGGTTTTAAAAAGGCTGCAGCATCTATGTAGAGTACTATAAAAATAAGAAACGTTACAGATTGCTATCAACGGTTACATGCAGTTCCATTACGAACGTCTAACCAGGTGTTTTTATTTTATTTTTTACCCGATGCTCGATGAAAAACATTTTAGTTACAAGGTATCTTTAAGCTGTAACAAAGACTCCGACAGTGTAACACATGGTCCTTTTTCTCTCTCCATACCAGGGCACATTTCCACCCAGTGAGCGGTTAACCCTAGAACGCCTAGGGGGGGGGGTTGTATCACCCCCCCCCCTGAGGTTTTTTCGAAGTGCACGCTAAACGGCTTGTCGTAGCGGGCTGAAATTTTCAATACCCTCTGGGGCAACCTTTGCGCATCTTTTGCCGAAAAAAATTGATCGGGTCATGTCAGGTCACGGAGTTATGACGTCATAAGAGGTACAGCCTCCGGCCAGATTTTCACAAACTGAGTGCCAACGCCCGAGGTTTCCTGCCGGTGGTACGGACATCGGTTGATGGATCGTGATGAAACTTCCCATGCATGTTGGGGCAAGTATTGGCTATCATATGGTATAAGAAATTTGACCGGGTCAGGTCAGGTCACGGAGCTATGACGTCACAAGAGGAACAGCGTCCGGTACTATTTTTGAAAAGCGCCCGAACCACTATTTTGCTAATTCTTGTCACCTCAATGGGAATATGCAGCAATATTAGCTTCTATAGGAAGCAAATGGACCTCCCAAATCCAAAAATACAATCAGATTTCAAAAATTTAAATTTTGATTTTTCGAATTTCTGCCGCCGACTGTGACCTTGCCGACTTCCGGCGCTCCCAACGCGCCATTTTTAGAGCTAGGGAAACGAAATACATACCAAACGATAGAGAATTGATTAAGGAACACGATAGTGAAGGTTTCAAGTCGATATCTCCCACCGTTTTGCCGCAATCGCCGCCGAAAGTTGAAAAAAGTCTATTTTTCCGAAAATTTGACCTTTGACCGGTCAAAAGTAGGTCAAATGTTGACCTAGGACCAAAAAATATACCACCAATCGCGAGATCTCGTTGAGAGCAATCCGTTGGTTTTTTCCGCTAAGCTCTACGACCTTCCGTTTCGAAACGCCAGGGGGGGGGGTCGTAACAACCCCCCCTGGTCGTTCGTGTTATGAGAAATGGCCTGGTCGTGCGAGGGTTAAGTTTGCTCTTTCTCGCTATATTGTCGCGTTTCATCCTGCTGGGCTCGTTGGGATGTGTGAAAATGCTGCAGTAAATGTAAGGTCTATATCTTTGGCAGCAGGGGTGGTCCTGGACGGAGGCCCATCTCAGCAGGGAGGATTGGTGATTGTGGCACGGTTTCTGCTACAAAAGGCCGTGCTTTCGGGTGGGAAGTAGCAACTTAACAGATATAAGCGAGCTGACGGAGATAACAAAGACCCATACAGTTTGGATTGCAGTGCTTAAGGTAAGGTGCCCTATTGTGTTATGAAAACTCAGGCATTGATGCTGTCTTTGTACAAGAGCAAATGAACCATCAATGTTTAACCACATCACACCTAAATTTAGGTACTTATTTTGCCCAACACAAATTTCAAGACCTCAGGTAATTTCAGTTTTCACGTAACAGTAATGACATGAAAAATGCTACATAAACGTTTTTAATTTATTTACCTAAACAAACGACTCGCCTGAAAACTACCGACCTTGCTTTGGCGAGTGCTCAATGCCGCGTCGGTGCGGCTTTCTTCTGGTGGCCTTTAATTGTCAGCCTAATCCGGACCGACCGACCGGCCGCCGGCCTACTGCACTCTCATCGGTTTCAATAAGTTTCCCATTTGGTCAAGCGGCTTACGCGTCTGGTAATCTCCACAGATCTGCGGTGGGCGTTTTTCCGCCCGCGCCGCAGCCTCCGCTTCTCTAAGCACGTTCGCCCGAGGCCATTTCAGCGGGGGAGGTGGAGGGGGCTGCCAGGATGCACTATCTAGTGATGAGACTACCGCTACGGATGCATTCGGCTAGAGCTGCGTTTATGTAAGCGCACAGATCACTCAGTAAAATTGAAAATTAATAAATTCTAACAGCTCTACAGTAACAAAAAGCTGCTATCACTTGAAACTCAAGCTGCGATTACGATGAGCTTAAAAAAGACTAAATTCAGGACATATTGTTCAATCATGCCGGAGGTCTTACCAATCGCGCATATGCGAATGCGCACAGCATGAGACCATCATATTTCTGTAATGTCCTATGTTTAAAACACAAGATAATAAAATGTAAATAGTTTTTGGCCCCGAGACCTCTGTTGACTTTAAACCGGGAGCTGTTACAAGTACTCGGTTTCCTCCTTGAATACTCACAGTTGACGGTCACCATCGTCCGCTTGCTGACCGGAGGCGGACTGAAAAGACGATACAAATATGTCAACGTGTGCGAAAAATATGCACACTGCCGTCAGAACATCACAGCTTTGTTACTGCACTTTCTTAGGAATGCAACAATCAATCTATTGTCGAAAAATGAATGACTTAACTAAAAAATTATTTTCATCATGTATCAATCATGCATCTTAGGAGTTTTTATTTCGTAAACATTAATATAAGTACCTAGTTACAAGCATCCCCAGTATCATTTGAACTTACATGCCATTGTTTGCGATGCACAGATAGACGCCCATCTCCGAGCGTGTCACTCTTTTGAGCTCCAATACTTCGGATGTAACGTGGGTAACTGAAACAAATTAAAGTCGTCGTTGTAAGTAACAAAATTATAGGTACTTTTGTTTAGTGATCTTGTACCTTCAGGGACGGTGAAATTTCCGCACTTGTAGTGGAATGCTTGGTGAGATCTCGTATATGTCTGACAGACCCCCCCCCCCCACACTTTGATCTGCGAACAGACGAGCCAGTCCGACCATTCCATCGCACAGTTCAGAGCAGGTTTCAGCACAGTTCAGTGCAGCTTCAGAGAGCAGTCAGTCCAACCCATTGGGCGCTAGCACCGGTAAGAAGAACCGGTCGGACCCGTCCACAGGTCAGAAAAGTCAGATGGGGTCTCTTTCGCCGACCGGGAGAGCTAGACGAGACTACAATAGTCTGTCCCGTCTATAGCCGGTCAGAAGTTCCCCTCCACCACCCCGGTCAGAGGAACTCGTCCACCGATCATAGTACTCCATCTACCTTCAGTCAGAGTTTCCCAATCCCCATCCACCGGTCAGAGTACCCCGTCCACCGGTCAGAGTGCTCTATTCAGTATCCATCGTCAAATTACTCCATCCACCTTCAGTCAGAGTACCCCGTCCACCGGTTAGAGTACTCCATCCACCTTTAGCCAGAGGCCCAGAGTGCGTACCTAGTATGTAAGTATGTACGTACCTACTTACTTTGTCCACCGTGACCTTCAGTCCGAGTCGCCCGTCCACCCTCAGTCCGAGTCCCCGTCCACCTTCAGTCAGAGTACCCCGTCCACCTTCAGTCCGAGCCCCCGTCCACCTGCTCTGCCCCGGCCAGTCCCGTCATCACCGGCCAGCGGCAGCGGCAGCGGCCAGATGCTATCGCGAGCCGGCCGCTCTTTCAATAAGGGCCGGCCAAATTTATCGCCCCGATTCTTAGGCGGCGCGGTGCGCGGCCGAGATTTTACATTTCAATGATTTTGTTGGCGCGCACCATTTCCGTCGCGGGGGGCATTGGCAGGTGAATGAGGTGGGGTTTCCACACCGGAGCGGCGCCGGCCCGGTCACCGACTAACGCCCAACTGTATCTGGATGGCGGGCGATTTGGGAGTAACAGGACTGGGCTGTGGAACTGCGATCTGTGATTGGTCAGTTGTGCGCATGAAACACGATATGGCGTCACGGAATTGAATGTGACACGATTCCGATTGGAGCACGACATGAGCGCTCGCGCCGCCGCGTTGGCCTACTGCACGTACGAAATATGTGCCCCATGCGTTTAGATAGATTACCAAATTTGCATTTTTCAGATTTAGACGATGTTAAACGTTGCGGAAAATAAACATTTCGGCAGCGGGTGGCAGCAGTCGTGCCGGAGGCGGAAATTGTTTTCGGAAGCCGTCACTGATCAATAGCCGAAGAAGGGGAGAAAGGATTGTATCGAACAGATGACGGACAGCGTGGATCAAAAGCATATCTAAAGGCACAACATAACGATAAGAGTGGCATATGCCGAAAATGCTTCAGCCCGCAAAAAAAAGATGTTTAAGTACAACTTTATATGCTTTTACAACTTTTTATGATGCCTTATCACCTGTCGTTATAGGTATCTCACATATAGCCTGTCGTTGATATCTCTCGCTCTTATCGCCATTATTGTTCTGTGTTTGAACTAATGTAAGTTAACCAAGTCGTGCAAAGGGTTCGATGACTCCTTGTAGCGCCGTAATGGCTTTATGGTTCCCCAGACTACAAGGCGATAGATTCTCCATTATACCCAGTGCAGTGTTTTGGATTCAGCCCCGGGAGAATGTCTGTTTTGGTCGTAAAGCTTCCCACACAGGCCATTTGGAGACGTTTGTTTGCTCCGAGCATTTCTGTGCTTAGATGATCACCGTCAAACTGAAGCTGGACACCTTTATTTTGTAAGGTAACCTGGAAGAATGAGTGCTATCCTATTCCAGCCCAATTTTCTTTTTGTAAAAATTACCGTTTGCTTAGAACACATGATAAATAGTTATCACTTATCACCTTATTTCACAGTGAAATAATTGTGATGCTCAGGTGGCAATTCTGAATGTCTTCGAAAATTCATACTAACTTATACAGGTATCGAAGCTCTTTTCACTGGGTACCGATTCACCATCTGCCGGTAGAACAGCGCAACTGGGATGGAGCAGACTGAGCGAGCCTGCCCGCCCCGGGCAGGCGGGAGAGACCGCCGCCGCTGGCGACAGGCGCCCCGATTTATTCCCGATACCCGCCAGATACAAACTTTCCGACATGAATGATGCGGCCGATTTGCATCTGTATGTGGCGTACCGGGGGAAGTGGCGGCACCTGGCCGTCCCCGTGATGAACCGACCGGGCGGATCCGCCCCCGCCCCCGCCCCCGCCCCCGCCCGTCGCCTGTCCGCCTCGTGGAGAGCCGCTTAGTGCCACTGCGGGGCTACTCCTGCAGCCTTTTCACGCCCAACGTGGCTCGTTATGTTCTGCAGAGTGATGGAGCGACATCGTTGATGGTTGGAACAAATGACCGTGTTAAACGCTTGTGAAAAGAAACATCAGTAGATCATTCTAGTGGTGAAGAGGTTTATTTGTTTTGCCACCGGATCTATGCTAGGCATTTGAAGAAGCCTGTGACCAAAATTGCTCGGCAAATGTTCTTACTAGTTAGTTACCAAAAACAAGAAGTTAGAGCTTATCGATGATTACTGTAGAATGCTCATTGCTCATTTGTGCAACTGTCTATGAATTTAGATCGTATTTCAAGTTTCAACACCCACTATCGGACGGTGTGCTGCATTTATTTTGTACGCTGTGTTAACATAAAAAACCGGTCGTTTTGTCCCACATCGCTTATAAGGCTCACACTCGGCGTGGTGCAGCAGCAAAAGCACCAATCAATCCATGAGCGGAGTCTTCGTCCTTTTCGCCTTGCCAGCACTAGCACCCAACCTCATGACGACGCAGTCCAGCTATGTGGGGCGCCACTGTTGACCACGGGCAGACATCAACCTTCTATCCATCCCGCTCGAACGCCACATTCCCGTATCGCCCTCTCGACCAGCAGCGGGTCAGCCACATCCAGCCCGAGCTCCCAGAGAGCCTAGCTGACGAAGCGGCTCATGTTTTACAGCGCCGGGCATGATGGAATGGCTGGCGACACGGGCACGGATTACGAGACATCGGCGCGGCTCTTTCGCTCTCTGAGCCGGTCGTGGGTCGCCGATGGGGGCGGGTCAGGACCGGCCGGGTGGCACAGACAAGCTCGTGATGGGACACCCGGCGCGCGACTGAGCCTGTTCGCTATGCCACGGTGCTTATCACAGCCGCCAGAGCGCTGGTGATGGCATGCACGGTGGGATGTGGGTGGAAACGGGGCTATGGTGCCGAATGAATGACGGACAAAATGGAAGTTTGCCAAGCGCGAGGCTCAACAGACGGCTATATCTGAACTAATTTTCTGTCGGGAGCGAAGAACATTATACATCCAATATAATTCAGGATGAACGAAAATTACGTATTTCTAGGCGAAAAAGCGGGGTAGAATAGGGGAAAATAAAAGCGAAATCATTAGCATACTCGAGTAGATTTTATAGCAAAATCTCATTTCTCTAATGAATATTAACGTCCCTTGTTTTTTATTCCAAACGAAGTCACTGATCCTTGCTTACCTTACAAAGATAGATAAATACACATATTTATACCCACTTTCCATTCTCTGTGCGCCGACTGACCTTTTTCTTTGCGCGGGCCGTCCTTGAGCACGATGTCCTGGCCGTCCTCCCGTCGCCAGCTGATGGTCGGCGGAGGGTAGCCGTCCGCCTTGCAGTGCAGCCGCGCACCGGCGCCCTCGGGGATGATGATGTCGCTGCTCGTCTCCGAGGTGACGATGTCGGGTGGCACCACTACTTCCAGCAGGCCCACCTGAGACAGGGACAGGGGCACTGGGTGTCAGAGCGCGGCACCGACCGACACAGGGCGGCCGACGGCCCTCTCCTTGGGGTACCGGCATAACTGATGAAAGTATGCTGCCAAAAATTCACTTGCCTTTGTCTATTCCATTTCCAGCCCAATGAATACATTACCTATTGAAAAAGTGAAAGCTTCACAAAACGGTACTATCTAACTCGTAAACATGTTAAATCCATGACCCATCATAGCCCATATTTGTATGCCAATATAACCATCCACATTCCACATACCCAAGCCCTGACCCATACGAGCTTGGAAGTCTCCGCGTGTGTGACGAGCGACACGACTAACCTGGTAGCGCATGGGGTCCGTGTTGACCTGGCACATGTAGGGACCGCTGTCCGACTGTCGTACGTTCCGCAGCGTCAGAGTCCACGTGTTGTGGTCACTCTGCGCGACGGAGAGACGATTGAAGTGCGTGATGACTGCGTTGTGGATGGCCAGAATCGCCTTGCTATCAGACTTGATCCAGGCCACCTGGTGGAGATGATAAGCACGTAAAACGTAGATGTTAGTAGAGAAAAGCTGTGCAAAATGAATAAAACACATACATATAAATTAAATAGGGTTAATGTCGTTTATGTTGAGTGATTTTGTCGGTGGCTAATTCCTAGCATGAGGTTCTTTCCCCACGCCATGCTGTTTTTTTACCGTGCCTATCGGACCCAACAAAAAGAAATACAAGATGAGTCAAAAACTTTAAAAAAATCCTTACATCCGTAAACAATAAAACATTTCTCGACCTGAGCCTGTCTCACATGGTTTGAGCGGCTTGAGGTCCTTGTCGTGCTTTTATAAACACACACTAAGCTAGGAACAGTTGTGTAAACGACGCTGATGATATAACTCTTGAGACAATAGGTTCACTAGTGAGGGCAGCGGGAGATGGCGCCGCAGCCACAGGCATGTCGGTGTCACTGGGATCGTGGCACTTGTCTCCTGTGTGGTCTTCACGCGGCTAAGGACATCTGACCTCGGCCCCTGCACAGTGCACGCTCACGGAACATTGCTGTTCTCCGTAAGCTGTCCGGGGCAGCTCAGTCATGTGTGTTGTCGGAGGTGATGACGGTTATGACAGTTGCCATGGGGTCGATTGCACGCTGCAGGAGGGAGAGACGCTATCTCTCGGGAGAGTGATTCAGAAGGATGACGACTGGTCTAGACGCCAATAATCAATCGTACTTTAGTCTGCGCACGGAGTACTGTGCCTGGAAGTCACCATTTTTCAGAGTTGACGACTGACCTTGGCGCAGAAATTGTGTCTGAGTCACGCCCGTGCCATCGGCGGCGCGAGTCGTTTCTTCTGCTCGGTGAGTCAGTCCCTCGTTAAATGGTCTCACAGCGTGGTCCGTTGAACTCCACGCTACTCACGCATGATTCGGACTGTCTGCGCTGATTCTTTGTCTGGCGCGGACGAAATGGGCTTAGAGATGGATTTGTAGGAAATATGAAATGTGGGTGTGCTTGTTTCTTTATGTTCATTGTCCATGTTTGGTCGTAATTGTAATATTTATAGTAACTCATGGTCATCGATAGTTAAAGTCGTGTTTTGTCTTTGTGTTGCGGCTGGGATTGAGGCTGGCTGTATCACATAGGCGTAGGAACGTTTTCGAAAGTGGGGGGGGGGGGGGGCCAGGGTCCCAGAGATCCAAAACCTAACCTACCCCCAAAATCCGATTTCTCCTCGGATTTCGGCCACTTTGTTTTCGCAAACATGCTCAGAGGTAAAAAAAATAGAGACAAAAAAAAAAGAAGAAAAAAATTGATTGAAATTTCAGGGAGTCTCCACTCTCCCGTCCATAAACTCAAACTGATGGACGCGTTCCCCTGTCCTCCGCAGCCGTTGGCACCCATGCAAATTCCAGAGGCCGTAGTAATAGAATGCTTGTAGCAGTAATCATTTGTATATACGTATTTCGGACCGGTTTCAGTGCATTCCAGCATCATCATCAGCGATAAAATCACATAAAACAAACACTTATCGTTTCACTTACATCGTTAACAATTCGAATTCGCATTAACATCATAGTTCGTGACACATTTTTCAAATCTTCCTTGAAAAGCGATACACGACAAAAGTACATCACATGCATAACACTTTGGTGTACTCAATACAAGAATGAGCGCCCACTGTTTGTACTAAGTAACTACATAGAGGGGTACTGCTGAGAACTTATTATTCAGAGCAGGTTTGTTCTCATGAATGTGCAAAGATTCCAGCAGCCGTAGGTCAACCTCTATACTACTTCTGGCAATGATAGTAAAATCAGCGATGGTTACAGGTGAATCACAGGTCTGTTTGTGATCGCGTATAGAAGACTGTCTGGGAGTTAAAGCCATTTCTCCAGTTCGGTCAGAAACCCCAAGGTGTTGCGCTACTCTGGTTTTAAGTCGGACAAGGGTGGAACCGATGTACGCCTCCCCACACGAGGAGCAACAATATTTATAGACAACACCAGAGCGGCAGGCCTTGGGGACTCTATCCTTGAAATGGAAAAATGAGCCGACAGTTAATGTGTTATGGAGAACAATTCTGGGGTCAAGATACGGATAATAGTTAGACAGTAGATCAACCATTTCTTTTTGCATACCCAGGGACTGTTCACCAAAGTAGGGAAGTACAAAATATCTTTTGAGTTTTGGCACGTTGAAGAGGGGTAGCGTGTTTGAGTATTTCTGGTTTAAGAAATTCTTGATGCACAAGTTGACAAGGTAGGCGGGAAACCCATTGTTTCTAAAGAAGGTTTTTAGAAAGCTTAATTCGTTATCGAACAACTTATAGTTCGAGCAGAGCGTGAAAGCTCGGAAGATGGAAGACTTAATCACTGAGAACTTGACAGTCTTTGGAATACTACTGAAGAAACTGAGACCTAGACCAGTGAACGATGGTTTACGGTATACAGAGGTACTCAAGCGTGACCCATCCTTAGAGATATTGACATCCAAGAAAGCAAGTGTTCCGTTTTTCTCTACTTCTTTCGTGAACTTTATTTTCGGGTGACGTCCGTTGAGATAATGAAGGAAACTATCGATATGTGATTGGTCATTAAAAACTAAGAAACAGTCGTCAACATACCGTCGAAAGTACTTGTTAACGATGTAAGTGAAACGATAAGTGTTTGTTTTATGTGATTTTATCGCTGATGATGATGCTGGAATGCACTGAAACCGGTCCGAAATACGTATATACAAATAATTCCAGAGGCATCCAGCAACTTTTTCATTACGAGCAAGCGTGAAACGTGCAAAGCGAGTCTTTTCAATATACCTATAAAAATCAGCATGAACGGCCCAGCTAGGCTCAGCCAGGCCTATAACGTTTTAAGAGGTTTTATATCAGCGACCACTGCAACTGGGCTGATTGACTTTCACTTATCAGAGGCCGGTGTGGGACTTTTAGACGGTCTGGGCCTTCAGAGGCCAGTTTAACCCTCCACGGCCCGGTCCTATAGGTTTTCTACATACGCGCTGGCCGAGGGGGCGGGGGGCGGGTACGACCCCCCTCGCCGTTTCGCCCCAGGTGGAGCTAGCGCGTCGCGGTAAAACGAGCGTGTGCGCCGTTACGAGACGCAGAGATCGATACCCGATTTTATGGTCCTAGGTCAACCAGTGACCTCTGACACCGTTCCGTGCTTCTATCCTCAGGATACTGAAATCCTTCTCCTCCACACCGCAACCCCCTCCGGGCTGGACAGGCAACTTTATCTCATGCGGGCTGCTCCCTTGGAGCGGCACCGCTGCTCCCGAGGGAGCGCACCCCGTAGCCGGGTGCAGTGAGTGCCTTGGGGCTGGGTGGCCTGTCCTCTGGACGGGCTCAGCCCCGGCCGACTCACTAGGGTGCCTGCCCAGACCAATGTCTCCCTCTATGTATATCCTATCATCCTTCCGACTCTGAAATGGTCTCATTGGACTGAAAGGGCCTAACCCAACAAAACAAACAAAAACCGGTGACCTCTGAGGTCAGGTCAAGTGCCTCAAGGCACGGTTCCGTTTTTGGTGAATAACTTCGCAAAAAATGGCCGCAGAGCCGCGATTTTGCCAGCATCGTGTTCGCCTCTCTCAGGCGCGTCGAATGATGTACTTTTTGTTTGGGTGAGGTAAACTTAGGGTGTTGACCTCGGGTCACGGTCAGGTCGGCGTCCCCAGGTCACGAAATTGGTCGAAGGAGGTCATGTCGCATATCATTCGATTCGGCAGGTCTTCTTGAGTCCATAGGTGGCTTTCCCGACTCGCTAGCTCAATTTGATCGGTACCTAGTTATTGAAGAAAAACTCTTATTTCCACACACTTATTTCACACTCTCTTATCACACTCTCTTAAACACACTCTTATTTCCAAAGGTACCCATGAACAAAAGGCAACCTTTCATTTGTAGCTAATTTTGAATGAAATTGGGGAAATTGTAGGTAGGGTAGGTGCATAGGTCCGTCCAGAAAAGGCAACCCTGGGATTTACATAATTCTCCACCCCTGTCAAGGTCGCATTAATCATGCAATATGTATATTCACCAGATACACACCCACCTTTTTCGCAAAAAAACTTCTTATATCCATCTCATTTCTAAATTCTACCTGACTCAAACCAGATCTTAATCTTAGTGCCTTGACCAGATCAACAAAACGAAACCGGTTGGCGCAATAAACATATCAGATATGTCTCTTCTGCGCTGAATTTGAAAATTTACGCGCTAAATCGCTAAACTGCTGCATGTTTTAGACGGTGTTAATTCTACCTGCAAAGCACAGATTATCCGTGACAGAAACGGCACCGTGGCCCATCTTTTTGTGTTTAGTTGGTTGAATCGTGTTTAAAGTAAAGAGCGAATCTCAGACATTGGAGTGCTCTCAAAAGTGGGGGGGGGGGGGCACACACATTACTGGCCCCCCCACTCCAAAATGGTGGGGTGGCCGTGGCCCCCCTGGCCCCCCCGGTTCCTACGCCTATGCTGTATCATGTTATTTAGTAGCTTACCTGGCTATTTTATGTTACCGAGCGCAATTAGGTGGACTATCAACCTCAGACAAGTCCAACGCAGAACGAACCCTACCAACAGCAGAGATGCATGTCATCGACGACAAACCGATCCCACTAACCACTGTAACCCGTCTGCCATCAAACCCTGACAGGCTCCTGCGGCAGGTCATTATCCTTCAGGTCGCAGTCATGTACCCTGACTGACTATGCGACGACAAACCCCAGGCGTAGCTAGGCCCCTGACCGACCTCAGACAGACCCGCATACAGTCCCCACCCCTCTCACCGCAGACAGTACTACCGCAGACCCTGGCGCCACAGAGAACAGACCGCTGAGTTACGGATACACGATTCCCAGAAAGGTTTAATTATTTTCTAGCCGTTCAGCTCCCGTTTTCATCAAAACCACGGCTCGCGGGCGTGGCTGCTGCGATCTGAGTCCGTCGGCGGCAGGCCTGCTCTGTCGATCCTGTGTGAGGCTATCGGTGGGGGTATAGGTGGAGG